GTATGACCGTTGTAGTAAAGAGAGGCGATAACCACAACATGATAGCAAAGTGCATCCCGGCTTTGATCTTGCGACCGTGCATGAACTCAGAGTGGGGTGAAGCGCATTGGCAGCTCAGATGCCAGCTTTAGGGTTTAGGGCTACTTGGAAGGGCAGGGGACTTAGTAAGTAGGTTATAAGTAGAGTTATAAGTACCCTAAATGGAGTTACCCCAATTATAACCCTACTTATAACCTACTTACTAAGTCCCCTGCCCTTCCAAGTAGGGAACGTAACACTTACGATCTTGGGTTGATTGTCTTGACATGACACTTCAGGCCTTGTAAACCCTTAGCGACATCAAGCAGCAGTGAATAGATGGATGCTTGAACATAGAAATTATCAGCCTTGATGTTCGCATGAACTGGTTGACTCGTTTGTAGTGGCAGTGGCATCATAGGCCAGGCGGGTAAGCTTCTAACGGCCTCCAAAGGTGGGATAAAGGTAGGTGGAGGTAGTCACTCCTAATTAATCATTAATCTTTCCTTATACAAGGGATCCTTAATCCTACCTACCTTCGTCCCAGCTTGCGAGGCCCCTGAACTCTACAGAGTTTCTCTCAGGGCTTTCAAGAACAGTAGGGCTCCTCAAATTCACAGGGCTCCAACTAGGGTTACTATGCAGGTACTACAGGGGCCTACTTACCAATACTGTTACATTTTGGGGCTTCCTTACTATAACTACAGTATAACGGGCCCCAAAACCCTATTCTAATCATAAAGGCCCTTATATTATAGAACCCTACTATAGATCCCTTACAGACCCCTTTAAAGGATCCCTTGACAGGAACCCTATTCTAGTTATTAAGGTGTTTGTAGCATGGGACCATCTGTCCGACCCCCCTACGTACCTCTGCCTAAGGTGGAAGCACTCCGCAGGCCTGGCTGGATGCCAGGGGCGCATTAGGGTTTAGGGTTTAGGGTACGCTTTATGGTCTGGCTGTTCGGGTTGTAAGGCAGGTTGGGGATTCAGGGTTTGGTGTTTGTTGTTTCGGACTTAGAGTGTGTATTGTATGTACCCATTTATATATATACACACACACACATGCACTCACATACAGTGTATATCAGCTACGTTTTATCTCTATGTATCTGTGTCTCTACGTATCTACCTATCTATCTATCGGTCTGTCCGTCTTTTTATCTGCATACACGTTCATCTTGAATGTTGTGTAACTTCACATATTGCAAATTGTTGTACCTGGCCCGCATAATGCGGATATTGCATGATTTTGAAAAATGTTCAGTAGCATGTGTATATGTACACGTATATGCAGGGGTATGTACACGTATATGCATATGTTTATGTGTGTATACATCTAGATATATGCCTCTGTATATTCGTATGTGGCATGTTTCATACATGCTTTATAGATCACAACATATTGCAGACATGCATGCATGTATGTAGGTACGTATATATGTATGTATGGTTGTAGGCATACCTGCCTGTCTGTATGTATGTACATACGGAGTTGTATGGATGTATGTGTGTATGTATGTATGTATGTACGTATGTATGTATGTATGTATGTATGTATGTGTTTATATACACACAGTTTACACTGTAGACACAATATACGTTATGTACATTGTGCATTCTCTCTCTCTCTCTCCCTCCCTCCCTCCCTCCCTCCCTCCCTCCCTCCCTCCCTCTCTCTCTCCCTAGACCCTGAAAACTGAAAACCCCCAAACCACGAAAACCTTAAGCCCCGAACCATCTGCCCCACGATGAAGGCGTTTCTTTGCTACCGGGAGCCTAAGTCTTCGAAGCCCTCAAGAAATGAAGCCAAAACCCGAAACGGAAACCCTAAAACCTAAACCCGAAACCCTAAAACCCTAAGACCCTCAAACCCGAAACCCTAAAACCCCAAAACCAAGCCCTGAACCCCGAATGCCTGCAACCCAAAGACCCCAAAACCGTCTAAAGCCCCGAAACCCCCAACTTAGGGACCCCCCAAAAAGCACATAAGCATACGCATTTTATAGGGCCGGGATATCCCTACCTTATTGGGCTTCATTATAAGGGGGTTTATATGGGATATTCCTATCGTAAAACGCTCAAAGGCCTTAAAGCTCCAAGCCTGCACAGGTGAAGAAATGAGTCGAAGGAGAGCCGACTGTGAGGTCTCTTCGCCTACCGATGGGAGCATCGAAGTCAAGGGAAGTAGATAAATCCTGAGGGGTTTAGTGTTTTCTTGGGGATCCTAAAACCATACCGTTTTAAGGGTTAGACCCTCTGATTACGGGGTCATAACCTTCTATTTTGTAGGGTTTGGGGATGGGTTTGGGCTTCGACCTTATTTAACAAGTTTAACAAGGGCAACAGTGAGGGTTACGGTATTGGGTCTGGTAGAAGCCCGATTACTCGTAGGCCTGATCTGAGGATAGGTGTGTTGGTTGCAGGGCGTTCAGTAAATTGACTACGAAATAACGGTTCCTGCGGGCTGCTGGGTTTGTGGGCTTAGGATGCCAGGTGGCGCCAGGAAACAATTCAAAATGACCCGTATTCCGGCCTACACCCTAAACCCTACACCCCCTAAACCCTAAACCCCAGTCGTGAGCAATAATCGGCATTCTCCAGACCAAGGCAGTCTACCAACCCCACACCCCAAACGGTCAAACCACGAGAACTCTTAAACCGTGTAATATAGGGGGCCTTAATCATTACTTAAACTATTTTGGTGCTTAGTATATTTGCAGTAGAAAGGGCCCCAAAATCCTATTCTGATTATTAAGGCCCCTACATTAAATGGGGGCCTTGAAAGGAACCCTCAAGGGAAGCTTCCGGGTTTGCCTATTATCGGCTCTTCGCACTTTTGCGGGCCCCTTGTGACGTTTTTGTCGGCGAAACAATGGTTTCATGGGTTTAGGGTTTAGGGGGTTTTGGGTTTAGGGGGTTTAGGGTTTAGGGGGGTTTGGGTTTAGGGTTTATGGGCCCTTTCGGGAGCATCCCCCATGCGAGCTTAATCCAGCCTAACCTGAACTGAACAGCTGCCATAGTTGTCATTCCCATTTCCCCACGGTTGGGTTTACGAAGACGATCTGCGTTGTGTTTTGCGTCGAGGTTGTACGCCCTAAACTTTAAACCCTAAACCAGACTTACATTGACATCAGTATCTGAGAGGGCTGCTACAAGCCGCTTTGGAGCGGTGGGCCGGGGAGACCAGTGAACCTACACTCTTGGGTCCTTGAGGTTGGCGTCTAGGGCTCTTCCTTCCAGTGAGGTGGGCCCCATGACACAGCAGAGTTTGAAGAGTTGTGAAGAACGATTTTGCTGGGTCTATGATTCGTGTCTACATGAATACAATGTATAACAATGTATTTTGAAGCCGGAGTAGCTACCTATAGCTATAGCTAGTCCGACAAAAGCTGACTATCATTATTCAGGCACTGGCGAACCTAACATACTGACATCGGAACTGAGTCGCCCACAGCCACCATGGCAAGAGAGCGAACCGCAGCTGAACTGGTTAATATAGGGGCCTCAATAATTACCACCGTATTTTATGTATAGCATTGTTAGACCCAAAACCCTATTCTAATTATCAAGGCCCCAGGATCAGGTTATCGGAGTCTTGCCTCTTGGTGCACTTCGGGCCTTTAGGGAAAAATGCTCACAATGCTTGGATGAAGCAGGGACCCAGGAGACTGCGACGCGTTAAAGCTATAGCTTTGCTTTGGCCTGACTTTTTGAGGGCATTCGGGCCATCCGAAACGACCTTCTACATCACAAAACCCATGCAAGTCGGCAAGTTCCGGCAAATAAAGGCTAAAGGTAGACTAAAGCCTTACGTGGCTCCGAAATTGAAGCTGTGGTGTTGCTAAGTTATCGTCTTAGTGTGGGCATCTTCCTTGCCCGTGCTCTCTCTTGTCATATCTTTCCAACTTGATCGTTCACTGTACCGCCTTGCGCCGCGGACCCGTGCCAAAAAGTGCTGGCTGCGTATGGTTTGAACCAGTCTGGGGTTTAGGGTTGGGCTAGGAGTGATGGTTCTCTGCTCTTACAGGCGCCGACTGAACCCAAGATTTGTCTCCTAAGCATATACCACTACATGTTGGGAAATTCGCGCAAGTAGAGCGGCGGCAGCCACACGCAGTCCGGTGCATGTGTGGACAGCACCTCGTTTGGCTTAAGTGTGGAACCTTTTATAATGCTCTGGAAGCCAGAGTAACTACATAGAAAGACCCGGCATTACATCCTCAGTTACGGAGACACCGACATGCCTCTTTCTTCGGTTCATGTTTGACATAGACTGTAAGCCCGACACACTTAGTCTTAAACCATGAACCCCAAACCTTAAGCTTAAAACACTGCTACAGACTTTGAAAAGCCCAACGACCCCACGGAGCTGTTACCGACCGGTGCCTAAATCCGGTCCACAGCCAAGAACTTTGCCTTGGGCTTGGGCTTTTCGAATGTAGGGTCTGTAGAGTTTAGTAATCTAGACTCTATAAACCCTAAAAACTCTTGGCCCCATAGGTGTCGAGGGCAACCCCGAGCGATAGAAGCCGCAAGCCGCCAGCGATCTTCGCAGCTGTTGCCTGGAGGTCAGTACTCTTCGATCCACCACATCTAGTTTAGGGTTTAATGTCGAGATCGTTTTTTCGAGAGGGTTTCATGCAATTTTAGAGCTCTCCATCTACTTAAGTCTGTGTTGAATATACTGGTCTAGGTCTTGAGGCTCCCGAATCCCTGTGTAGCATCTCATTTTTTCTATGATCTTTGTTATGACCTCGACATTACAGTAGAATCCAGAAAGTTGGAACCTCGTTATCCTCATATTTAAGGCAAAGTATAGGGAATCACCACACTAATCATCCCAAATCCATGTTCCAACTTTCTAGGGTTCACAATCCCTTCCCTAACCCCTAAACCCGTACGTGTCTTTCGTAGGTCTCTAACCCTAAACCCCCTAGGTTTGTTGGTATGTGTCTCTCGTAGGTGTGTCCCGTCAGGCCATGCACCACATCAACTTCCGAAAGGTGGGTTCCGCAGACCCTGAGCCCGCCACTAACCATTGATCTCAACTCTTCACACCCCGTGCCACAAATCCTAAAGCCTTGGAACAGTAAGCCTCATGTCGGTAAACGTGTGTATATACCCAAAAATGTATGCATTTGTTTACTTGTTCTCGCTCTTTAGCGAAATTCGACTTTATGGTTTAACTTCCCGAGCCCTAGATGAAGAACTGAAGCTCTGTTTGCTGTGAAGGACTCCCCTCACGCCTAAGCCCTCGTTATCGACCGAGCTGGTGTATGGCTTAGGGCTGAGAGAGCTTAGGGTTTAGGGTTGAAGGTTTAGGGGTAGAACTAAGGGTTTAGGGCTTACGGCTTGGGGCGGTTTAAGGGTCTCAGACAGAGGTTGTTCGTGCTCCTACCCAGAGAGCCTTAGATAGTGAACGGGGGAACTTTAAACTTTTTGGCCTTATATATTCGCTCTATCTTAGAAAGTTTGTGAACTTTTTGGGGCCCGGTTGTGGAAGAAGAGAGTAGCGCAATGCCCCTTAGGCAGGAAGGTGCTTTGCAGTCACGTAAGCAGCGCAACAGCTGATCCATGTGCTCCTAAATAAGCTGGTCTAGGGCTCTGTGCATCATTTCGGGGGTTTGGGCAGCTTCATATAGAGCATCGATACTTGCGACCAGACAGGGACAGGCAATAACAATGCTGTGAAACACGACGCTTGCAATCCCAACGACGATCCGGAAAGACCACGTCAAGGGATTTTGGAGACTATGATCCCCTCCGGTTCCTTCCCTGGGTCCGAGGGTTTAGGGTTTAGGGTTGATTTTTTGCGGAGAACTTCTACTGAAGTGAACATGATCACCTGGACCAACTCTGACATCTCTCTCCTGTGACAGACAGGTAAATCGACAAAGCTGCGTGCACCCCGTGCCAACCGTTACCTCGACCGTAAACCCTCAACCTCCAAACCCTAAACCTACGCATGTTCTTAAGCTCGAACGTGCAGAACCCCAAATCTACTCAAGGGCTTCCGGTACCGGATGCCGAGCATGCGGCGTAACCCTTCACAGGACAACCAGGACTGCGGACGCAAACCTTTGAAAAAAACGCCTCACAACGACTGTCTAAACTCCCTCTCAAGTGCGTGAAAGCCCCCAAGAAAGCCAGGCTGGGGACGGCAGTGGACGTGATATGTACATTGTGAAGGACGCGCCGGCAACTATGGGTGGAGAAGTAACGCGCTAAGATTGGCGGGTTTGCGAATTTCCCAGTTGCTTGTATGTCCCCTAAACCCAACATAACAGCCGAAACGCCCCAAATTGTCTCCCCAAGCACCACCCTACATTACATGTGGGTGGTTGTCTAATTCTGACAACTACCCATGCGAGAGTTTCGGATTGCAGGTTCCGGGGTTCGGGCTGAACCTGAGGGCTGACGGTTTAGGGCTTGACGGTTCGGCGGCAGGAGCACATGGTAGAGAACGGCAAGCAGAATGTGGTGTTTGTGCACCTCGGATGAAATCTTAAACTCCTCTAACCCCTTTATAAACCCTAACCCCTAAACCCCTAAACCCAACACCCTAAACCCTAAAGCCTAGATCCTAAACCCCAGTTGCCGGTACAACTGTAAAACTGCTCTGCCCAGACCTTCCAAGCTCTTAGCTCTTCACCTTAAACTTCGAACCTTGAAAGGTTTAAGGTTTAGGGTTTAGGGCTTTAGGAGTTTATCGGTAAAGGGCTAGGACCCAGAGCCAGCCCTTATTCCCTTTTTTAGGGTTCAGGTTCCCTTATAACCCCCTTTAAACCCAAAAGGGCACCCTTTTCATTTCTAGGTTGCTCTTACCCTACCCCTCCAAGGACCTCATACTTAGGGCCCTAGACCCCTGTAAGGATCCCATAATAAAGTCCCTGGAGGCATACCCTTAGGCTAGGATGCCCAGTAGTACCCTTTTTCCCTTTTTGTAGTCCTAGGTTCCTTATAAAGTTACCCAACACCAAAAAGAGAGGCCTTTTTTTCTTAGGTTACTGGGTATCCTAGTAGGTCTAGGACCCTTGAAGAGCTAACATCCGAAATTCCTAAACCCTCAATCCTACAGTAGAAGCCAGAAAGTTGGAATATCATTATCGTAACTCTTCTATGGTAAATTATAGGGGATCCTACCATGAAACCATATTCCAACTTTCTGGAGTTCCCTTTAGGCCCTAAGCCTTAGCACGGTTTAGAGTTTAGGGTTTGGGGCTTAGGGTTTAGGGTTTAGGGTGGCCCTTAGCCTCAAACCCGGTGTGCGAGTTTCTGACTCTTGGGTGCCCAATGGGAGAACCCAACGCTTCATACAGTTGCTATCTTTTTTGTTCTGGGGCCTGGTTATTGAAGAAAAGAGCCCTAAACCCTTACCGTTACCTTGGGTTAGTAGGGAATGCAAGGATGGTAGTAATAGTAGTTTTAATTGTACCCCATTCCTCCATTCCCTACTAACCAAAGGTAAGTAACCCTTCGACCGAAGCGGCTCTTCGATGATCAGTCCGACCCACGTCCTGCAAGCTTAGCCATCTGATTCTCTACAAGATTTTGTACAAAGGTTCTAGGGGTTTAGGGTTGAGGTTCTAGGGGTTTAGGGTTTAGGGTTTCTAGGCTGTGGCATTTGTGATTTAGGGAGTTGGCGGTTTCTTGGCACTCAGCCCCCGAACTCACCCTCGTCCCGGGCCAGCGCACAGTGGCTCGGTGAGTTGCTGGGTGAACTTTACTTAGGACCTAGAGTAGGCCCTTATTCCCTTATTTTAGGGTTCAGGTTCCCTTATAAGCCCCTTTAAACCCAAAAAGGGCACCCTTTTTATTCCTAGGTTGCTCTTAGGTCTAGTTACCGGACATGGATCCAGCTTTGCGTTTGGGGCTTATGGGGTGCAGGGCTTCAGGGATTAAGGTTTCGGTTTACGGCAGTTGGGGCCTCAGGCACTGAAGTTTCGATGAGGCGCCTGGCCTAAAGCATATTTTGGTGGTGTGACGGCATGATAGGCTCCAAGGCGAATTTACTTTTGTATCAGCAATATCATGCCTTACCACCGTCGATAGCTGCAACGACGCACAGAACATGAAAACGACTACGGCCCTCTGCCTGCAGCATTAAAAGCATCCAACAGAAGGACTCGATTTCACGCCCATTTAAAGACCCGAAACTCAGTATATACTTAGTGGCTGAGTAGGCAACCTTGACTTTTTGGGGTTATTCTAGCCTACCGTTAATTGAAAAGGTTAACCTTTTTCGGCTAGGGTATTCAGCCCATAAGATTACCCGAAACTCAGTAATAAACCCTAACCTTAAACCCCACAAGCCCTAAACCCTAAAACCGCGAGGAGCCGGAGCCTTCCGTTCAAGAACCCTAGGCCCTAAACCCTAAACCCCAAACCCTACCTGTAGTCTCCATTGTAGTTCCGTTTTGGGGTTACTTTTTAGGATCCTTAATATATAATAAATATTGGTTAAACCAAAGAAAGGAACTACAATGGAGACCATAGGTACACCCTAAACCCCGTGAGGAATCGGAGCCTTCCGTTCAAGCACCTGGACCTCCGCGGAGCCGTGGCAAAGGACCCCGCGCCGAGGCCCGGGAAGGTTTCGCGCCGGGCTCATCCAACTGGGCTTTATGGTTTTAGGGTTCAGGGTTTAGGGTTTCAGGGTTTTGTAGGGTTTTGGGTTTGGATTTTAGGGTTGTCTACTGTTTTGGGTTTGGATTTTGGGGTTTTGGGTATAGGGTTTTGATTTTAGGTTTTTATTGGGGTTTAGAGTTTAGGGTTTTGGGTTTAGGGTTTGTTACAACTGAATTTAATGTTTTGGATTTAGTTTTTGCTACCGTGATAGGGGTCTATCGTACATGATATGGTTTCCTTGTTATGGGTACTTATTATTTCCTTAACAAGCTGGACGGTGTCCAAGAAAGACATAGAAGAAACGGACCTAGCTGCGCTTCTGGCGAAGCAGCATGATGTGAAGCTGCCGAAGAAGCCTTCCATCTCTCAGAGCGATGTTTATCAATCGCTGTTGGTTATCGCTGCTGGTTGCCGAAACGATGCCTCCGAGGAGCAGCATTCCAAGCGGCAGATGGAGAAGGTGAACGAACAGCTCTGGTCTTTTCGGCAATGAGGAAACCGAAGCAGCGATTGTTTTTGTACAAGGCAGCTCTCCTAGAAAAGCAGTGAAACTTCGCTTGAGTCGGGTTGCGTCCAAGGAGGCCTGATAAGAGTTAGGAGCCAACGAAGCACCCAAACATAAACTTTCGGGCGGGATATCCCAATCTTATCGGCTGAATGAAAGTAAGGATCCCGGGATATGCCAACCTCATGGTTTTGTTTAGGTCCCTTTTGGGTCCCTAGAGGAGCGCCGGAAGGATCAGGAGATCGGTGCCTTTCTTTGGGGCAGGGCATGTCGCCGATGTGCCAAAGATTCATATGGGAGTTTCGGAAAATTACGGTTACCCGATTTTCGGGTGGTCTTTATAATGAAAATCCTACTATTCAGGGTACTGTATTACGGTCCCCTATTTTCGGTTTCGGAAACTCCCATATTGATGACATGCCAGAACCCAGCCAATGAATGTCACCCGAAGGTTTTCCTGCTCTACCAGTACTGTTTGGTTGTACGGGTGCGTCTGGGGAAAATACATCCCGGCAAGACTTCTGTGTGAGATCCCCGTGTTTCTCTGGTCTAAGATGGAGTTTAAAACACATACATACATACATACATACATACATAATTTCTCGTATATACACAGACAGATGAACATGCACACAGCAAGCCCCGCTTCCAAAGTTGTACCAACATGATGTTTGAAACCAGAACTGAAAACCCACAACCCTACAGACATTATCCCTGAAATCTGGCCCGCTTTGGGCTTAAAGCGTGAGCCGGTATCTTGTACAACACCAGGTGTGTGAGGCCTGACCCTGCAAGCTGGACCAAAATCCTAAACCGCAAGGCCTGCAGCCAAAGGGAAAGTCCCATCCCACCGGCGCGGTGGAAAAGGCTGGCAACCGAGCCTTCACAACGAGGACGCGCGGGAAGCTAAAGATGAATTAGGGGTTCTCGTAGCCTCAAGTAGTGGTTGTTGAAAGTGTGAAGTCGGCTGGTGAGATTCATGTAAAGTGCAGGTACCCAAAACCGCAAACCCTCGACATCAACCCCTAAATCCAAAACCCGAGGGTTGAGGGTTCCTGTGACTTGCCCCGAGTCACTTTACCCACAGCCACTCTACAGGCTGAGGACGAGTCTACACACACACACACACCGTATATAATACACCTAAAACAGAGCTGAAAACACCTAAGCCGTAAACCCGAAGCTCAAAATCCTACTTTTAGCCTTCAACCCCAACCGTAAGAAGGCTTTGAGGTTTTGGCTTTATGGGGGTTTCGGATGGTCGGGTTTTCGGCTGTTTGTTGCAACCTTAGCCAAGTGAGTGACTGGAATGTGAGGTTTGCATAAAACCCCATTACTATACCTATATAGTCTCCATTGTAGTTCCTTTTTTGGGTTATCCAGTTTTATGGTTGGGACCCTATAATAGAGATTTTGGTTAACCAAAAAAAGGGACTACAATGGAGACTATAGGTACTGTCTGAACTCGTGCAGAGCCACGGCACCCAGCCATTCAATAGGGGCCCCCCTCAACACTCGTAAACGTTGGAGCCCTAAAGCCAAAGTCGCGCAGGACTATCGACGGATCAAAGAAGCCGGCATGCACACAGCGGGTGGGTCACGGGCCCAGTGTCTGCTGGGCTTTCGCTGAATTCTCGGCTGATGGTTTCACCTGTTTCCACGTGTTTCCTCCACTTTTTGAATCATGATAATTACGTTGGTTTTAGAGTGCTTGTAACAAGGACCTCATTTAAAGCCCAAAACGACTACATGGTCCACAGGCCCGACACATTGAGAGGAATCCACTTTCGCCTGCCATTCTTGTAAATGCGGCAAAACCCTCTTCCGTAAGGGCTTTACTTTACATTAGCTAAGATGATGTTAGGGGTCGTAGTATATTAAGATTCAATGAGGGCTTGCCTAGATAGGTGAACCGTAAGTCGTCTACACTAAAGCCACAAAGCACCCTGGAAGCTTTAACACCCTGGAAGCCCAATGCAACCCTGCCTATGGTCTCCATTGTAGTTCCTTATTTTTTGGTTTAACCAATTATATATATAAAGGATCTTAAAAAGTAAACCCAAAAAGGAACTACAATGATCAGCATTTTCATGTTGTATAATTTACCCCCCCCCCCCCCCTCCACCCCACACTTGGTCATGTTCTGAGGGCTCTTCCTTCAGAAGCCTTATGACGCCTGTCATGAACCTTTATGAACCCTCAAAATTCGATCCTCTTCGCTAAGTGCTGCCGGCGCTTCGGCGGCGCTGCCTTCGGTTAGCAGCGAGGTGCTGTCTCTTTTCACGCGGTGAGAGCTAATATACCCCCAAAACCCTATTCTAATCTTGAAGGCCCCTGTATTAGGGGTCTGGCCGGGCTCCAGATTTACTGTTTACAGGGTTGAGAGAGGCGTTTATAGGATTTTCACATGGTATGAGCGTTCTACAAGTGTTGCCCTGTTGAACTTGCTTTCCTAAACCCCAACTTTCGCTTCTGAAAATGGGGTTTAGGGTTTAGGGTAACCCTAACCCGGAATAACCTACCTTTTTTGAGAATGTCTAAAAGGAAATCCCTGCCGACTTTCTAAAAGGAAATCACGCCGCTGCAGCTGCAGAAGGAAGGCAGAGGCAGACTTGAAGCCCATGGGAGGCGAAGACAAAGGCCAAGGGCAGAGCCAGGCGCCAGGACACCGTGTCGGTACGGTTTAGGTTTTAGGGTTTCGGGTTTAGGTTTTAGGGTTTAGGGGGCAGGGGACTTAGTAAGTAGGTCATAAGTAGAGTTATAAGGACCCGAAATGGAGTTACCCCCAATTATCACCATACTTAATAGCCTACTTACGAAGTCCCCTGCCCCTCCAAGCACATTTCACATCCAGAGCATCGGCGAGGACGGCAGGATTGTGGAGAAGTGTGCAGGGCCTTGAATAGGTCTGTGATATTTGCGGCTCGAGCTGTACAGTACAGGTACAGGGAACTCCAGAAAGTTGGAATATGGTTTCAGGGTAGGATACCCCATAATTTACCATAAAGGGTTTAGGATAATCATATTCCAACTTTCTGGCTTTTACTTTATGGTGCTGTCGTTTGAGCCTGCAGCGCAAGTGCGGACCCGATTCTCCTTGAAGTCTTTGCAATCTTCTCTGCTAGGACCTCGAGTAGGCCCTTATTCCCTTTTCTTAGGGTTCAGGTTCCCTTATAAGCCCCTTTAAACCAACAAGGGCACCCTTTTTATTCCTAGGCTACTCTTGGGTCTTCTCTGGAGTCTTCCGAAACTACCTTTCTTTTCGACAGCTTAGTGCTTCAGCGGCCAGCTGCTTTTGTCATGGAGCCCGGAGGTTTGACAGACCTGGTTTCGGGTTTAGGGTTTAGGGTTTAGGGTTTAGGAGACAGCAGAACAAAAAATGCTGGAACAGAAGCTCGCGACTGCTGTGCAGCTTAAAGCAGCCAAGCGGCGTGTCGAGTATTCGGCAAGCATTGAGTCGACAGAGTCCCACGGATCTCATGGACATAATAAGGAACCCTAAAATGGTAGGTTATTCAGGGTTAATGTAGGAACCTGACTAAGAAACCTTGGGCCTAGAACCCCAAAGTAGTAGAATTCATCTAAGTAACCCTAATAAAGGCCCAAGGTTTCTTAATCAGGTTCCTACATTAGTCGGACAGGATAGGGGTTTCATAGGCTATGACAAACCCTAAACCCTAAACCCTATAAGCCATTGCACTTAAAAAAAACACCTTATAAGCCCTAAAAGACCGGTAGGTTATTCAGGGTTAAGGTAACCCTAAACCCTCCAGAATTTCAATTTCTTGAAAACTTCTAAAAGGAAATCATCATAGGGAAGCCTATATAAAAGAAAGGAGGTTTAGTCAGGGTTAAGGTTACCCTAAACCCTAAGCTTTGGGACCCTCATCCTGAAGCCCAGAGGGAGACTCGTGGTGGGGGAATCTTTTGGGTTTTTGTGGATATATCAAAAAGGAAATATTGCCTTATGAAGAACATTGGGCTTAGATTGAAAACCAAGCGGGAATGTAGTCTTAGAGAAGGTATAATATGTTCACATGTTGTATGTCTTGTCCTGTTTTTTTTGTTTTTAGTTTGGGGGTTTTGACTTTGGGTTTCGAAGTCCTTGGGTGGGCTTTGGGGTTTCAATCGGGCCGTTGTTCGGATCAGTTTGGGGGCGTGGGGGTTGTAGTGGGCCAGTATTAAAATTAGGATTCCATGGTTACTGGTTAGGGGTCGCTGTCAGGGCATTAGGGTCCTTAAAGGAACCCTAAGCAAGCTCAACTCTAAGCCCTACACCCTAAACCAGAACCCGAACCCAGAGGGTCCAAGTACCCAAATACCAGGGTCTCAGGTCCCAAAGTCAATAGTCTGAATGGCTTTTGGACCTTGAAACCCTACTATTCGGGTACTTGGACCCTTAGGGTAAGAAAGCTCAACTTTACCTATAGTCTCCATTGTAGTTCCTTTTTTTGGTTAACCCAAATCTCTATTTTATGATCCTAACCATAAAACTGGTTAATTAACCAAAAAAAAGGAACTACAATGGAGACTATAGGTAAGATCCTAAACCCCTAAACCCTAAACCCTAAGTACCTATACCCTAAACCCTAAACCCTTTAAATTTAGCTCCCGCAGGCGACGTCTAAGGCGGCCCTCCACATGTGCCTGAACCAGGTGAACCAAGCGTTGCAGCACCTGCAGAGGGCGTAGGTTTAATGGCCTTCGCCGTCACGTCTTAGCAAGCCCTGCTAAACCCAAAGTCACCGCAAGAAAGGCCTTGCACTTCTGATATGTCTTACATACATATATACATATATATATATATAATGCTCACGGATCCATGGGCGGTTGATGCCTCTGTCAGTCTGTCTGTCTGTCTCCCTCTCTCTCTCTCTCGCTCTCTCCCTCTCTCTCTCTCTTCTTCTCTCTCTCTTTCTCTCTCTCTCTCTCTCTCTCGCTCGCTCTCTCTCTCTCTCTCTCTCTCTCTCTCTCTATCTCTCACTCTCCATCCCACTCGCTCTCCCTCTCTCTCTCTCTCTCTCGCTCTCTCTGGCGCTCTATATCTATCTATATGCCTATCATTCGTTGTTGTTTCTCTCGACGTTGCCACGTATCGACCTTTCTGTCTCTCTACCTACGTACCTATCTATCTATCTGTCTATCTATCGAGATATCTGCTTATCTGCCTATCTACAGCCATCCCTTATATCGAAGTTGGACAGCACATGATCGGCCGCACCCCTCTGCGGGCCACATAACGGAGAGAAAGTTGCAGGAAAGCTCCACTTTTCTCCAAGCCTGCTGTTACAGGCTCTGCTTTACTAGGATCTGGTAGACTGCGTGGCGAACCCGGAATCCCTAAACGCTTCGTCGATCCGACCAGACGCCATTGCTTATGACCTGGACCTAGATCCTCAAAAAAGTCTTTTACTCCGAGCCTAAACGCAGACTTTGAGCTCTGGAAACGGGAGGGATCGGTGTATCTCGGGGATGGTGTCTTTGGGATTAAGAGCAAACTGACGGCAATGCCAGACTGCACAGTCCGACCCCAATATAGAATTATAGGGGTGGGAATACTGACCAATGTTATTCCGTGGTAGGAGCACGTATTGTTAGTATCACAACTACTATGATTTTTAAATGTTAGTTGATGTTCGTATTGCCGGGTTCTGGAGTACCATACTTGCATGTTTTTTTTGGACCTGTTCCTTCAAAGAACCATTGTCAAATAAAAGTCAATACTTGTTTCTCCCTGGTTACCTAAAATCGCGGATTATCATCACGGTTCTCATTGTTACTCTTATCATGACGATTATCATGACGATCATTGTGTTTATGACTATATCATAGAACCCTCTCATAAGTCCTTTCTAGTACCCCTTACAGGTCCCGTTGAAGGAACCCTATTCTAATTATTAAGGCCCCTGCATCATCCAAAGGAGACCCTATGATTATACAAAGCCACGCAGAGCCAGCAAGTCGAGGTCTGCAGCATTCCCAAGGAATCCTGCTGCCAGCTTCAGCTATCTTTAGGGCCCCAAAAAACCACATAAGCAAAAATACGGTTACGGATATCCCATATACACCCCCTTAGAATGAAGCTCAATACAGTGGGGATATCCCCATAAAATGCTTATGCTTATGTGCTGTTTTGGGTCCCTATCCTTGGGTCTTGTGGAAGAGCGCACTCGTGATCTTTAGTTTAAACAGCTTAGGGCTTATAGGGCTTCGTGGTTTAGTTTACGATAGTTTAGGATTTGTTTGTTTATGGTTCAGTTTGGATAGTTTAGGGTGTAGGATTCATGGTTTATGGTTTTCATTAGATAGTCAGAGATTTTAGGGTTTAGGTAGACATCCCACATGGTAAGGATGCCAGGCTTTCATGGTGACGGTCGGTTGAGCTGCTAGGATGCCCAGTAGTACCCTTATTCCCTTTTTGTAGTCCTAGGTTCCTTATAAAGTTACCCAATACCAAAAAGAGAGGCCTAATTATTCTTAGGTTACTTGGTATCCTAGGCTGTGTTCCGTCACAAGAACCCACGTTTTGCTTTTCCTGGGTGTCTCATGGCTTCCGGCTATGGAGCTTTCGGATTTCGGGTGCAGAGTACTGGCTTTGGGGGTTGTAGGGCCACCAGGCTCTCACAGCATTCGTGTCAGAAATAAACAGCGATCGGAAACTTTGCGCTTCTAAGAGCAACAGTACGACTATGTTTGGTCATGCAAATACTGGGTTCAGGATGTTGGGCCCGAACTCACCAACATGAAGCGAGCTGGGAAAGCACCTTTGACCAACTCCCCAAAACCACCTCATTCTGTAGGGCTGCATAGTTAAAACATGTATTCTGTTTGCAGTAGGGGGGATTAGTACAGATTGCTCAACAATCAGACGATTAGGGTTTGAGGGGGTATCCGAAGAGAGCGCGACAAAATGGAAGTTTTACTGTTGGACGCCTTTACAGGGAGAAATGTAGATACATGTATATGAAGAGGGTGGAACGACAGCGTACCTTGCTGTATATTAAATGCACACATTATTGATGCATGTCTCTCTCTCTCTCTCTATATATATATATATATATATGTGGCAGGAACCTTCACGTATAATGTGTTGCTGTTCTTTGTGTTATTAGTACTAGTCTTTACACTACACCCCTATTATTATGATTGTCATGTCGATGGTCAGTATTGTTTTCTTACTGCTTCTACGATTACGACGACGACCATGACGACGACTTCTCTTACATATATGTGTGCATATGTATGATATGGGAAATTATTTGCCTGTCTATATATATATATATATGCATATATATATATATACATATATATATATATATACCCACATATACACATACATATACACATACATACATACATACATACATACATACGTCCACAGCCCTCTTTCTGAAAATCCCATATCCGCACCAAGCCACAACCGCCACCCGATATTGCACCTCTGGAGTCTCTTAACCCCCGACTCTAATCTGTATCCGCTGCTTACAAAGAGGCCTCGAGGTAACCTGAAGGGTTGCTTTTAAGGTAGTAACGGGCAGTATAGGGCTCCTTTTAAGGGTACCATCGGGTTCCTCTAATGGGTTGTAGTGTACCAATGACAGACGCCGAAAGTTCAGAGATTTCCCACTCGTTGACATCGGAGTTTCACAAAGTGTCGGATCCCCCGATTGGGGTCCACCAGCGCTTAAGCCCTGAACCATCTTAAATCCTGAACCCTAACTCTTATAGCCCTAAACCCCGGTACACTACAAGCCCTTAGAGGAAGCCTATAGTACCCTTAAAAGGAACCCTATAGTACCCTTCAACCCTGGACTCAAGGCACCCAGCCTAAATACCTCGTATGTCAACAAGATAGTGTAGGGTTTAGAGTTTGGGTTTAGAGTTTAAGGTTCAGGGTTTAGAGTTTAGGGTTCAGGGTTTTAGGGTTTAGGGTCACCAGGCCATATAATGGTACATTGGGGGAGCCCAGGAGCATGTAAAGCTTAGGGTTCAGCACTCGGAGCGTAAGCTTTCGAAGGGTTGCCGGATGAGGGCTGAAAAAGTTAGAAGAAAGCTGCTGAGCTTGCTGAGTTCAGGTGGTTTTCTCAGCTTTTCGCACCTGAAGTCCAACCCCTCATCCCTAAGCTTACCTTTGGTTGGTAGAGAATGGAGGAATGGGGTACAAGTATAACTACTATCACTACCATGCCTCCATTCCCTATTAACCAAAGGTAAGTAAACTTAGATCTCCAATACCCAACCTTTAAACTTTTTGGGTTCTTGTAGTTTAGTAGGAGTCGGAAAGTTTAACCTTCTAATCCTGTGGCTTATTGGAAAATTCGGGCGTGCGGATGGCTTCTTTTGAGAAACTCCAGCATTCTGCGTTCTGCAGCCAGACCTTTTAGAAGCGCCTGTTCGTACACAGAGGAAAAGGATGATTTTGGGTGCAGGGCTTTGGGTAATGTAGCGGCTTAAATGGGAGTTTCCGAAAATAGGGGACACGAATATAGTACCCTAAGTAGTAGGATCCTTATTATAAGGACCCCAAAATAAGGCACCCCTAATTTTCGGAAACTCCCAAATAATTGCAGATATACAAGTGTATGGTACAATGTCGCCCCAGCCCTATTCCAATCATCAAGGCCCTCGTACGAAGTTCCTTTGATTGTCTTGCCTGCTGGTCAGGTTCCCATGTATACATGAACAGAAACCGACATTGAGTTTGTAAGTGGACCTAAGCACCCTCAGGGGCAAGACGGCGAGAGAAGTGTAGGGGATTTGGGGAATGTGCGGGGATGTTCCTGGTACCCCAAACCCCAAACTCTTAAACCAAACCGGACACCAATTCTTGTAGGGTTTGGCTTCATATGCCATCATGCCGGAGTTTCGTGTTTGAAGGTTTTGACATTTGTAGCCCGGGGTTAGGGGATTATGTTTGGGTGTGCGTTCGGGTTAGCTTTACTACATGGGTTGTTGGAGGAGTCCACCGGCGCAGGGAAGTCCTCTCTTACGCACGCAAGCGGGTGGTTGCCAACATTTGTTATCCTTTTTTGGCTCCCTACAAACAAGGCACCTAACATAAAGGATACCCAAAAAGGGACCCTAATTTAGAGAACTACCCAAGTAGGAGTCAGTTTCATGAACCGGAATTGAACTAGTGGCTTATTGGGGTAGTAATTTATCTTAATATGGGGTCCTGTGCTCCCTTGCAGTATTTCAAGGATAATTACTCTAGATGAAGGTTCTGCAAGTATTCTTGTCAAAATTCTTGTGATACTAGGGTTTTGGTCACAAGGCGTCTAGTATCGCTTCTATGAGGTTGTGTCGAGGCTTCATGGGTTTACCGGGGTTCCGTAGGGTTTAGGGTTCTGGGTTTATTTATAAGGGTAGCAGTTCAAAAGTGTTCTTACAATTGATTTATCAAAACCCTAAATCGAAGCCTTTTGCTTTTGCTGTAGCGCTCTGGGTTTCCGGAATGTCAAAGGTACTTAGGGTTTCGGGTTTGGATACAGGGATGTGGGGGTTTGCATTTTTGAATTTTGATCCGCCCAACACCCAAGCCCTAAAATACTCTAAACGCACCTTAAAGCCGTAAATGTCATAAAACTCTGGAGCCCTGGATACCCTTCATGTCCCAAAGCCTGAACCTGAACCGGGGGGGAGATTGGGAATGCGAATGGGACTTTGTTTTTTCCTCCGCGGCCGTTTCTCAGCTGACGTGACTGCTTACAAGGCTAAGGGTCCCAAGAGTCTATGGGGTTCATGACAGAGCCCTGACCTAAGCCCCAGTTCAGAAACTCACAAAGAATTTGGTAACCAGTACAGTAACCCTCAACAGTGCCGACTCAACTCGATGACCAACCCGCAGTGATGCCAAAGCCCAAAGCTCTTGAGGCATGAAACCCTCAATCATTCAGCCGTCACTAAGCACTAGGTGGCTGAATCTCAAAACCCCTAGAGCCTTGAACCTTAAATCCCGAGCCACTTCATTGAAGTGAGAGCTCGTAGTGCCATGGGCAGGGAGGACCGCTCCCGGATCCTGAAACCTGAAACCAGTAACTGGGTGGTTGTCAATTATGGGCCCTTTTTGGGTACCCTAAATATTAGGTGCCGTATTATAATAAGGACCCAAAAGGGGACCCTAATTTTGACAACCGCCCAACTATCTCAGTCGGAAGTGGAAGGCGGAGCTTGTGATGACAAGATGCTTGAAGCAAGTACCACAGGGATCGACCCAGGTCGTGCCAAATAGTCACCATATCCATGCCCTCTGCCGACTGACCCGTACCCGCGTGCACCTGTCCTGAACCCCAAATCCTAGCCTGTGGCTGCCCAGACCAAGACCGCCCTCCACTTCCGAGGCCCCAAAGCACAAAGTCCAAAACAGACCCAGGATCGCGCCTGGACCCTCAAAATGTCTAAGGCCCTGAAACACCGGTTCAACCCCTAAAGCCTTAAAGAACTCCCAAATCTCTAGAAAGCAGCTCGAAATCGAAGCCCTTAACTCTCAAGCCTCAAGCCCTGAGCCCAAAGCACTAACGCCCGGAGCAATAAATCCCAAACCCATAAGCCGGACACCGCGACCCTAGATAGGAACTTATTTTGCTACGTTACCTAGGGCCTTCTGGGATTTATTAGGACTTCCTGTGTCTTCCTCGGGTTGTCCATAAGGTTTGAAAGGACTTTTAGAAACTGCCTCTACGAACGCCCTGACAGTTCTGGGCGTTTAGGGCTTTTACGGTTTAGGGTCTAGGGTTGAGGGGTGATAGGCAACGATAGTCCTCAGCGGTGGATGTTCAAGACAGACTAGAGAGTGGATAGCTTGATCTCGGAAGGTGGGTATAGTGTAACATACCGCGGTCTAAACCCTACTGTAGCTGTTTTTTAGCATAACTAACAATTGATATTATGGGAGCTAAGGAGCCAGGGATGATGATAATCCCTATTTAAAAAGGAGCTCAAGAGCCAAGGGAACCCCCAAAACCACTGGTTAGATAAGATCGAATCTTGGGTTCCTGGTCCTTGAGCCCCCTACTGGCACCAGGACCGATTCCAAAGGAACTCGGCCACCGCTCTGAAGGCCGCCATGCTTGCAGCTAATTTACCCTAAGGCTCCATTGTGGATCCTTTTTTTGGCAAACCGAAATCTCTATAATATGATCCTAACCATAAAAACTGGTTAACCAAAGAAAGGAACTACAATGGATACTATAGGTAGATCAGTGCTTCAGATCTGTAGTGATTTGTATAACCATCGGGTTTCGGCTGAAATGCTTGGGGTGTGTGTTATTTGTTTGTTTGTTGCCCCCGTCGTCGCTCTGGGTTTACGCTCTGAAGTCAGGGCTCTGGCTTGAGCGCCCAGGGTTCCCCGTTTGGAGTGCAAGGTTTCGGATGTGGAGGCTTCCAAAGTATCTTACATAGGATGTAGAGGCTTATGTTGTTATGGAGATGGCATGTCGGAACCAGGAAGCAACCCAAGATGTGAGTCCAAACCCTGAAGCCGTGACTCCTAATCCTGAACCGGAAGTTCCTTACATGTCAGGGCTGAACCTTGCGCGTGGCACATGAGAGAAGGCTCCCCGGCGATGAGATGGGCATCGGTTTAGGGTTTGAGGTTTAGGTTAGGGACACAAAAAGCACATAAGCATAAGCATTTCTTAGGGATATCCCTACCTTACTGGGCTTCCTTATAAGGGGGTTTATATGGGATATCCCTATCCTAGTTTTTGCTTATGTGCTTTTTGGGGGCCCTATTAGGGTTTGAGATGGGCATCGCGTGCGGTATGGAATCGTTCAGTGGCAGAGCAGGTAAGCTTTAACCTGTCGGGGGTACCAGAACCTAGAATCCCTATGCTACTCAAAGGCTAGCCTCTAGTTTCCCTAGGATACCGGACAAGATAGATCTACTGTGCTTTCGAGTAAGCCCTAAGCCCCAAACCCCGAAACCCTAATTCCTAAACCCTAAACCCCTAAGCCCCAAACCCCCAAACCCTAGACCCTAAACCCTTAAACCCGAATCCCTGCGTAGACCGACTGTTTCTTTCAGAACGAACAGGGGCTCCTTGCGAAGCAACTGGTTTAGGGTTTAGGTTCAGCAGCGCCAGCTGTCAGAAGAAGAACACTAGACCCTAAACCGAACGTTTCCCGGTAATATGGGGATTTGGGCCAAAGAATCGGAAAGTTTGTTTGGCACAGGCCCTGGGTACAAGATGCGTTGCCCACGGGTTTAACTAAGGGTTTAGACGCCTTGCAGAATTCAACTCAGGGAGTTGGTGAGAACGCCTGATACAGAGCATGCCTTTCTTCTGCGAGGGTTCCTAGCCTTATATCTTGTAAGGCTTCTGGTTTTGAAAGCCTCTGACGGACTGAATTCCGAGCATACAGGAAGAGTGTTCAGCGGCTTGCGATCAGATATCAGGTGCTGGGGATGATGTGTCTCGTAGCTGTCTGTACACCACAAAATCCCCCAAGACCATGCCTGAATGGAAGCACGGTCTGAGGCAAGGTCGGGGTTCACGACACAGTACATGAGTAGGATGCTTGTATTGTATGTGGAGGTTATGATGCCCTAGACTGGAAAAATATAGTGCAACGGAAAGGGAACTCTACTTGTGATATGAGTTTAATCGCCAGGCTCTCTAAGTCCAAGATGTGTGCTCCGGATTGGGCTGTGGGCTGAATGTTTCCGCGAAGTGTCTAGGATCAACTTAAACAGTTTTGACCATGGAGTCTAAAGCTCAAGAGTTTTCATGTTCTGAAGAATTTAGGAGTTGAGAGTTGTTTTGCTCTTGGGTTTTGAGGTTCAGGGTTTTAAGGCCTTGGGTCTTGGTAAGTTGTGGGTCAACCGAGTCCTGCAAGGTATCGATGCTGGAGGAAGAGGAAACGAGGCCAGTCTGTGTATGTATGATAACATGTAGCCCTGGAACCTTATGTCGACTCCTGTCGCTATTTTTGTGGACGGTGGCCGCTAAACTCGCATTTGCCATCATTCACTCCATCTTTCTTGCATAGCCCAAGTATCTATACAGCACAAGCTGCCGTAACAGCCTACCTACAGCTCATGACACTCCCAACTCTTCTTGAAATGCCGATTTAGGTTTCCATGATTCAGGATCAATTAGGACCTCGTCAATTGGAGGCTGACCACGACATGCAAAGCATTAGGAGGTCTGAGGTGTGGAGGGGTTAGTGTGCCTTAAGTTTTATGTATGGTCTCCATTGTAGTTCCTTCCAAATATGTCATCAGGATCCGAAAAGGTAACCCCAAAAAGGGAACTACAATGGGAGACTATAGGTGGATTCCAGAGACTGTCGGCTGGCTTTGCTTGCGACCTCCTCACTTCCTTCGCGGCTCTTTCTGGTCGTTTCGGACAGTACCATGAAGATGCCTCCTGCTCATATATGGGAGTTTCCGAAAATTGGGGGTACCTTATTTGGGGGTCCTTATAATAAGGATCCTACTATTTTGGGAACGGCAGCGCAAGAAGCGGTCGTTGTTACTGACTGGCTGGGTCCATCATCAGTTGCCATTGAAACACTGCCAATCCCACTCTTACCCGGATGCCCCGAAACCCCCTAATATGAAAACTCCGGTCCCGAAATCCAGTTTTTATATTCGGGAGGGGGTGGGGGTGCGTAGGGGGAAGGGATTATAGGTGTCGGAGTATCTAGAGATGACACGTAATTCTGAAATTTCCTCAGAATCTGATTCCAATCATTATGGCCCCTGTATTCGGCCATCGCCGCTACTTGCTATGTAGAGCATATTTGGAAGTTCGACGAGCTTCCGCTGCGCATCTCCAGGCGTTGGGCGTTTACCCGTTCACCCTCCCTAGATCACGCAGGATTGTGCTAGGTTCGTGCTTGGGAGTTCAGACTTTGTCTGTTTGCTGGTTTCTGAAGAGCTAACACTGAATCACTCCAACTAAGTACGCCCCAATCCCAGGCGCAAATCCCAAAAATCTTCCGAGCTATACAGCAAGGCCTGAAGCCTGAAATCCTGAACCCTAAACCCCTGGAACCTAAAACCAAACCTCTAAAGCCTGTAAGCCCGTGTAACGCTCTCATAATGGGTATTTCCTGACGAAGCCTCTAAAGACAAAGCACGAAGGTCGTCCAAAATGCGCTTTCCGGCCAGGCTGGGCAAAGCTTCGGCATTACCCTAAGGGTCCATGTACTCATATAGTATATGCAGTAGTCCCTATATAGGTACTTAGGGTTTAGGGTTTAGGGGTTTAGGATCTTACCTATAGTCTCCATTGTAGTTCCTGTTTTTGGTTAACCAGTTTTGTGGTTAGGATCCTATACTGGAGATTTGGGTTAACCCAAAAAAGGAACTACAATGGAGACTATAGGTAGGGTTTCGTTCTCGGAGGATTCCGATTCAGGGCTTTGGGGTGTGAGGCTTTGGGGTCTGGCGTTTGTTCCATGAGATCTAGGGCAAATAATGCAAATACGGATCATATTTCATACGCTTCGAACTCGTTTCTGCTTTAGAGCCATTCGGCTGCCCAGCATGGACGGGTTCCTTTAAGGGTTCCTTAGAGAGAACTTTTCAGGGATCCTTTTTAAGGTTCCTGTTCAGGGTGAGGCACTAAACCCTCTGAACCTTAAGCTCTGAGTCTAAAGCTTGGGACTCATCGGGCTTGGTCTCCATTGTAGTTCCTGTTTTTGGTTAACCAGTTTTATGGTTAGGATCCTATAATAGAGTTTTTGGTTAACCAAAAGAAGAAATTACAATGGAGACTACAGGTAGCTTCCTAGGTTTGCTTCTCCCAAACCACAGCCGAAAAGTCTAACCGGTCCTACCTTATGTCGTATGTGCTTCAAGGTCCTCCCTGCAGCCACTTATCCCTTCTCAAATGTAAGGCACCCCGGGTTTTGCCACTCTGTAGTTTACCATGTCGTGGTTACAGTATTTAGCATCTCCTATGAACCGACAGAAGTCTCTGCAGCTTGCTGAACTGAAGACCCCCCTCTTGAAATCCGAAGCTTTGAAGGCGTCTGATGATCAGGCGTGGTCGCGGGTGCAGTTGTTGTCGGTGAAACCCTGCACCTCATAAATCAGCCCCTACCAAATCCTGAGCCCAGAGCCTGCAATCCTGTAAGCCCTAAAGCGCATCCTTAGTCCCATAATCGCTATCATTGCTATTCATGTAGCAAGAAATACTGTCAGCATCGATTGATCATGGTCTCTGTTATGTTGAACTATCCAGTCAAAGACGATTTGTGTTTATGTTACTTCTGAACGTCGGGAAAGATGGCTTTTTCTAGCAGACGTATAAGTCGCCTGAGCGTTTAGGGTTGGGTTTAGGGTTTCGGGGGTTGGGGGGATTTGGGGTCTAAGGTTTTGTAGTAGAGGTAGGTAACCTTGAACCTTTCTGAGGTATGATAGTTCCTGTATGTGCCCGGAGGTTAAGCTTTAGTTCTCCTAGGATACTGGACATTTAGGTAGTGCCCCAACTTCGCTACATCAGAACTACGCGGCTCCCACTTGTCGTGAAGGATTGCCATCCGTACCCTAAACGGTAAACCTTACCCCCCAAGATGCGAAACCGTCCTTAAGTGCGTAAGCCCTGCACAGCCTGAAAATTCTAGAGGCACGGAAGCTCCCAATATTTTTACAGTGGTCATGGGGATCGAAATTAATGAGAGGCCAATCATGTAGTATCAGGATACAGTAGTTACAGCACGACGAACTTTGAAGTAAGTGTGTATGACCGAAATAATCAGATCATAGTATGAAAGATGTGACCCGACATGAAAAAGAGAAGGTGGTGGCATGCCTTTTTCAAACACCTGGCATGCATGCCAGCATTTCAAACGAAGGTACTTATGATATGGTAGGGTTTAGTGTTTAGGGTTCTACCTCCCCAGAAGTTTCCGGTCGGTGATCCAGGGAGCATCAGGTTGAAGTAATAGAGGAGCCAAAATAGTTAGGAACAGCATTCCAATATCCCCTCAGCGTTTGTAGGGTTTAATCATTTTCTACTTCTTAAGGCCCCTATACTGAGCCCCCGTCATAGAGCCCTAGTCTCTACAGTATCCCCTATAACAACCCTTCCAACATTGAAAAAACACTCGTTTTCTTCTCGATTCCTCTACGTTTCAGTTTTCTAGATGTGTGTTTAATTGTTTCGGGCCGGAGTCTGTTGTATGATTGGTTTTTGAGCAAGACGTGAGCCCGATACTCTAAACCGAACCCTTTTAGTACCCTTATAGAAAGCCTTTTGTTTCCTTTTCTATTTACTGTACCCTTATCGAACCCCCTTAGAGCCGTTATAGTACTTTCATGGTAGCCTTAAGCCCCTATATGCCCGAAGGCCACAAGCCCGTTCTGTCAGCAGGCGCAAAGTTGCCCGAAGTCGCTGTAGCGGCCTCAGACGTCCTGCGATCACGACGTCCCTGGACCATGGAGAATAACACAGACGAAGCAGACTTATCTTAGATAGTGAACGGGGGAACTTTAAACTTTCTGGCGTTATATATTAGCTCTGTCCTAGAAAGTTTGAACTTTTTGGGGCCCGGTCGTTGAAGAACAGAGTTATAGTAGTGGCAGTGGCAGAGCGTCACCGCAGATGAGGGTCAGTACCACGGTAAAGCCTGAACATTCAACGGGGTGGTTGTCATGGACTGCAGGGAAGCTTGGGACGCCCAGACCTTCCAAAATCCCTTACTTAAGGAATATACCTTAAATCATATTAGGGATCCTACTATGATTTAAGGTATATTCCTTAATTAAGGGATTTTGGAAGGTCTGGGCGTTCGCCCTTTGATGGATGGGTTACCGTAACCGAGTTGAAGTGCAGGCCCACCATGGCAGCGCGAAAGTCCAATGCACCTACCTATAGTCTCCATTGTAGTTCCTTTTTGGGGTTAACCGAAATCTCTGGTATAGGATCCTGACCATAAAACTGGTTACCCAAAAAAAGGAATTACAATGGAGACTATAGGTAGGAAAGCTTCTTGAGCCCAGCCAGACCGGACCCAGGCTCCAGAATATCAAGAACCTGCCAGAGGGCTACCTACGAGCTCTGGCTCGGCTCTTACGGAAATTTAACAGCTTTGAACTTCGGACCTGAAGGGTTTCAGGTCTAGGGTTTTGGGGTTTAGAGTGTGGGGTTTAGGGTTTAGCGTTTAGGGGTTCAGGTCTGGGCTTGCTAGAGGGCTGTAGCACAGAATTCTCACAGAATTCTATAGTGGAAGCTTCTGTTAGATGCTCCCTTTCATGTCGTGTTCAGAAGGTTCGGATTCGGTCCCAGGTGTTTGTCGGGTCCCTGAACCCTAAACCGTGAGTTTGTCGGTTTCTATTTGGCGGCGGGGTGTACGCTTTCGGGAGCTCTGGTAAGAAGGTTTTGCGTCCGTTGTCGCCGGATGCTTCGAACTTCCAACCCTTATCACAACCCTAAACTCTATAAACCCTAAACCTAAATCCCTAAACCCTATAAGCCCCAAGCCCTATAAACCCTAAACCCCTAAGCCCTAACCACCTAAGATCCCACAGCACAAGCCTGAAAGCTCCGAAACTCCTTTGAAAGTTTGTAAACAGTGGGGATTTCGGCCGCAAGGAGTTGTTTCCATGCTGTTTTGGAGTTGATCCCTTCCATTTTATCCCGATCCGTGCAGGCAGGAGGTGTTAGGGTTTGGGGGTTTCAGTGATTTAGGGTTTAGGGGTTTAGGGTTTTAGGGGTTTAGGGTTTAAATAAACTCAAATAATAATTCAATTAATAATAATAGTAACAATAATAATAATACTAATAATAATAATAATAATTAGTGTTGAGGCGTTGGGGGCTGCATTTAAGAGTTCAGGGTTCGGGGCCAGGCTGCAAAAGCCTTCGATCTCCTAAAGCACAAAGGCAAGCCCATCAGCGATGCTTCCACTTCCGTTTGCTTCTTTTTCTGGGTATGATTTCCGTCTGAGATTCTAAACCGTGTATATAAGGTTTAGGTCGTCAAGCGCCAAGAATGCCCTACAACCTCTGAACCCCAACGACCCCTTCAGTGGAAACGCGGACCCTTTGGGACCTCTGGCCGTTTGGCAGAATTATGAAGGCTTCTAGTTATAGTACTGGTATCAACACTACAAGCCCCTTTTTGGGACTTGAATAGAAATCTCCAAAACAACCGTATGCTAAGCGGACAGCGAGGTCAGATGTCCTTTGTGTGCTGCCGGCTGAAAGTTGTGTGCAGCGGGGGTCTGGCCTTTGAACGTGTCAGAGTTTCGTTGCCCTGGGCATCAACATAGCCCAAAAGCCTTATATAGTATCCCAAAGGGTCCTCCTATGTACTGGTATGGGGGATACTTCCTATCCCTAAGCCATAATAGTAGTTCCTAATATGGAAACCCTACATTCTACTATATCGGTACATAGGACCCTTTGGGTATGGTCTTTGGGCCCAAAAGCCTTACATAATACATGAGTCCTTGGATCCCTAGGGTTAGAGGCCGAGGATCTTGGCACTGCATAAGAACCTGTACCAGGATGCCCAGTAGTACCCTTATTCCCTTTTTGTAGTCCTAGGTTCCTTACAAAGTAACCCAAGACCAAAATGAGAGGCCTTTTTTTCTTAGGTTACTGGGTATCCTAGTATAGTCTCCATTGTAGTTCCCTTTTTTTGGTTAACCAAAATCTCCACTATAGGGTCCTAGCCGTAAAATTGGACAACCAAAAAAAGGAACTACAATGGAGACTATAGGTAAGGTTTAAATGCCCTGAATAGATCTACACCCAGAGGCTCCAAAGTAGTTCCTTTTTGGGGTTACCTTATAGGATTCTAAATATGAACCCTAAAAAGGAACTACTATGGAGCCTCAGGGCAAGCATGAGCTAGAGCCTGCTTCTAGGTGTGCTTGCACATCTACGTTCTGATTCCCTTGATGTTCAGCCCTTTTGTAGCGTGAGGACCTGAGATGAGACAACCCACTTATACCCATGCAGAACGGGGAAGTCTCGCCGGGTTAAAGTCGTGCCGAAGGGTTTCTTTGGGCCGTATGTAGACGTCCACACTGTTGAAGTCCGGCAGAGTAGTGAGATGGAACCACTGGTGAGAGCAGCGGGGAGAGCGGGCGAGTGTATGCTGGATGTGAACTGTTTGAAACGGGTCGCAGTCATCAACACAGAGAACACCACAAGCACAGGGGCTTTGGGCAGGAATGGCAAGAGATCGATTCGAAAGGGATACCGAGTAAGGGCTCTGCTTAAGAAGCTGGTCCCCACTTTCGAAGAGGACAGTCAGGAATACCTGCGGATGTGGCAGGGCCCGATGGGCAAGAAAGCTGTCGTTACGGATGAGTGTGCAGATGAAATCCTCGCCGGCGTCCAGGCCTTGGACCCCGACAGGCCAACACTCAGACAATATCCCATCCAAGTGGCGCAGAATCGGCCGGCATGAGGGTGAGAAGGGCATGGAGGATCGGCTCGACAATCTGCTGCAGCTGCGCCGCGCGGAGAAGGGCCGCACGAACCAGCTGTCACTGGGTTGTGAGTCAACATACTCTTTACGGTTGAGCTGGACAAGAAAGTCCGAGCAGCTGTTGCAGCTGGCTAACCCATGTTGTAAGCACCTCGGATGCCGGACTTTGGAGAACGGGTTTTGAAGACATAGTATGTTTTGGGTTTAGTGTTTAGGATCTTAAGCGTATGGTTCAGGTTTTGGTGGTTGAGGAGTTTCAAGTTTTGAAACCTAAAGTAAGCCCTACAGGAACCCTAAAAGGAACCCTTAAAGGAACCCTTAAAGGAACCCTTAAAGGAACCCTGAAAGGAACCCTTAAAGGAACCCTTAAAGGAACCCTTAAAGGGGCCCTTAAAGGAACCCTTAAGCCTTACAACGCAGGCTCCGTTTCAGAGCAGCATCCGAAACTGCACATTTGAAGCTCCCAGCCCCGAATTCCAAATGATTCTGCCCACCAAGGCCTCAACCTAAACCCTAAACCCCTAAATCTCAACCCCAACGAACGTTTAACTTGTCATCTTCGGCTTTAAATGGGTTTATGGTTAGGCTTTAGGGTGTAGGATGATGATGAGGATGACAACAAATATGACAGCAATACAACCCCAGAGGCCTCTAAACCTTAGCTCTACGCCCCGAATCCCCCAGCCATCAAGACCCTAAAACCCAAAGGGTCCTAAGTACTGTTACGGGGGAGACTTCCCCAAATCATAATAGTAATTCCTAATATAGAAACCCTGCATTCTACTATAAAGGTACTTTGGACCCTTTGGGAAAGACACTAAACCCTGAAGTCCCTAAACCCTAAACCTCTTACCATCAAGACTCTAAACCCCACACTCGAAACTCTGAATACCTTAAACCTTAACCATCAAGACCCTAAACCCGCCTTAGCCCTAAAACAAAAAAACTCGATGGATTGCTTTGCAAAGCCTGGCCAGGCTTCTTTCTGCTGATGCAGCTGCTTGTGGGCGTGTCTCGGATGGTTTAGGGTAGTTATATGAAGTAGGGTTAAAATTTCCGGTTTGGTGAGTGTAGATCGGGCTCCTTTTGAATATTGGTGAGTGTATATATTGGGTTCTATTATGGGGATACTAGTACGTAATATAAACCATACTCTATATGCCTGTTTAGGCCATCAAGTGTCGAGCAGCACATGGCTGGACTCCTCATACGATGGCGAGTATGCTTCTGTCCAGATGCCGCTAACCCTAAACCCAACCGGCAATTCCCTTCTAGCAAATCTCGCAATCCTCACTTCAGGCCGATTGCGAGACTTGCAGCCAGTTGACTTCATATTCTGTGAAGACCCCTTCAGAGGAGCTTAATGCTGAGGCGAAGACTCGAGCTAAGCTTGAAGCCTCACACAAGTTGCTTTTGTTCAACATTTGGGGCCGCAGCGAATGTCACGGTTAACAGGAGCGCAAAAGGACGAACATTGATTCCGCTGGGTAGACACACTTTCAGAATTGCTGCTGCTGCTGCTGCTGCTGTGCCTAATCCTTCTACTAGCACTACTTTCTACTACCACTAGTACGGCTACCTCCATTGGTGCTTGAGCTATTGCTCTTTTGGACATCTGGTGCTTCTTAAACTGCTACGACCCAACTACTACCACGAGTACTTGCGACGACCACGATGCGATAAACGACGATGTAGGCGAGGAAGAAGACGATAACCACGACTGCCACTACAACGCACATGGCTACCACCGCCGTGGCTCTAGCTGTCAATACCAGTTCACCATCTACGACTACAACGCCTAACAGCTCCAATCCTACGGCAGCCTTTCTCCTGGTACCACTGCTGCCTCCACTTTGCTACCCGGAAAATTCCAGCCAATTCAAACTATGTGTGACCTCGGGCGGCTCCAGTCAGGTGAAATCCCAGAGCCCAACACCCATGTAGCCCTTATGACCTGAAGCCTAGGTCCTAGTGGGCGCTTGCTGGCGGAGTGGCGCCAGTGTCTCGGGAAGTTTGCATGGCATGGCGAGCCTGAGCTATGAGCTCTAAGTACTCCAGAAACTCTGCATAATCTATTGGGGCAGCCCGGACAACCCCTTTGTTCATATGATAAAACTGTTGTTGTATGGGTCTAGGGGCAGTATACAGGGCAGTGTTCGAGAGTTTTGTTGCTTGGTGATTTATGTTTATATTTCTGGTTTGGCGGGATTCGTAAACCCTAGTCCCGGTGCTGGCTCCAGATGTCCGGCTGCAGGGCTCAAGGTTTGTGTAGCATGGGGGGTTTGGGATTTAGGATGGGGTGTAAGGCTCCAGTATCGGGTGCAGGGCGCGGGTTTCACTTAGGGCTCAAATGATGCAGCATGGTGATGTAACTGTACGGGACCCAGGTCCTTTACCCCGCTCCAAACCACTTGCTTTGAGGTTTAGGAGCCGGGATTTGGTCATGGAGACGCCCCTCAATTTTAGGGTTTAGGGTGTAGGGTTTGGGGATTAGGGTTTTGGGTTTAGGGTTTGGGTCTACGGGCTTGAGGTCCGTGGGGTGGGGGTTTCCCGGCCAGGTCACAAGCGCACCTTCAACCCTGGGTCTACACGCCCTACAAGTTCAAGAAGCTTAACTCAAACCCTATACCTTAAATCTCAAACTGCAGCTTAAAAGATTCTCAAACTTCTTCAAACCCGAAACATTAAACCCCAAGCCCTGAACATTAAACCCTAAACCCTATGTGGCCCAACCTCCTGGCCGAATGGCCTTCTTGCTGAGACCTAGTCTTCAGTCAGAAAAAGGGGCTCAAAAATAAGGAAGAACCCTCTAAACCCTAAAACTTGTTAAGGCCTTGCAAACATGGAGGTCGGCGCCCCGGCTCTCCCCGTGTAATCTACCTCAAACCCGAGACCCCGAACCGTGCACACGTGTAAAAATATGGGTTCAATAATTACCAATATTATTCTGGGGTTCCTTCTTAAGTATAATTATAGCATAAAGGGCCCCCTATCGTAGTAAGGCCCCGATATTCTTCCAAAGGCAAGCCCTTAGATGCCCAGGATTTGAACACCGACTTCAGCGACTTCCTCCGCGCCAACACTGGCGCGTCCTTGCACCGGCCTCACTTTCAGCCAGTGAGTGAAGGTGTAGATAGGCGCCGGAACAAAAAGCGGTATATTCCATCATCTTCCCTTGTTGTGCCACCTTGGAGCACCGAAGCTCTGTTGTAATTAGTCATGAAGGCCCCTGTACTATGTCATCTCAGCCCGGATTCAAGCCAAAACCGCCAACCCCGAGTTGACCTAAAACCAAAAAGCCAGGCTTAATTTTAAGTTATAGAGCTTAGGGATCTTTAGTATATACGTATAGGGTATAAGGAGAGCTGTACGCACCCTTAGACAAGGTCAGCCGAAACATGTGACACGATTGTACCTATGAACCGTTTACTAAGTCCCCTGATCCTTAATAGCCTAAACCCTCCGATGCTGCAAAACCCCTTCAATGAAACCTTTTGCTCGCTAAGCCCCCTGATCCTTCATGAGTGCCTGGGGTTTAGGGTTTAGGGCTTTAGGTTTTTGGGATTTCGCCTAACTTCGGGCAAGGTCTAAGGATCTCGAGCTCAACTCCTAAGCCTGACAGGAATCCTTATAGGCCCCTATAGTAATCCATAACTGAACCCCTCAACCCTCAACCCAAGACCCCCTCCAAGGTCCTCATAGTTAGGGCCCTAGACCCCTTAAGGACCCCATAATAAGGTCCCAGGAGGCATAGGTTTAAGGATCAGTTAGGGCCCTAGACCCCTTAAGGACCCCATAATAAGGTCCCTGGAGGCATAGGTTTAAGGATCTCTAATCCAAATCCTGCCTTCGAGGCGTTACGATGCCATGCAACAGGCGTGGCAGGCCTTGGCGCCACCATCAGGCCTGAGGTTCCCTAAGGGTGGGATTAATTATCGGGTTTAGGGATTTAGGGGTTTAAGGTTAGGGGTTTAGGGTTTCAGGGTTTAGGTGTTAGGGCTTTAAAGTTTGGGGGTTTAGGGGTTACATAGGGGATTAGGGGTTTAGGGTTGAGTGGTTTCGGGTTTGGGGGTTTGGGAAAGAAAGCACAGGAAAGGGCTCGCTACTTGGAGGATAAAATGTGGGAAGTGCAGGCTTTGATTTCCCAGCTCCGCCAACGCGACAAAAGCAAGGACTGGCAACTGGAAGTGTTGGGGGAGGACATGGAACAAGGGTTGCTGTGCTTCTCTTCTGGTGTCTACATGCGCATCTTGGAAGAGAACAAGGAGAAGATTGCAGAGCATGGGTTCCGGCTCGCATGCGATGCGACGCATGACATCTCCAACTCCAAGGTCAAACTCTTCGCCCTAGGTTGGTTGGCACAGCATATCGACAGCCACATCATCCGCAACACATTTGTGCCTCTAGCTCTCGCCGTGGCACCTTCAGAAAGCAGCGCAGCAACAAAGTTTCTGTTAGAGGGCACAGAAAGCTTTCTGAATGACAGGTTTGGCAAAACATTGAAGAATGCCACAATTTCTCATTTGGACGGCGGAACAGGCTTGGTGAAAGGCTTCCAATATTATTTTGGGTCAACCTTGCCTCTGGTCAGGAGCACGTCAAAAGAAACATCAACAAGGAGGGCACGAACAAATTGAAGCAGACACGGTGGTGGGTGACAGTGCAACGTTGGGTGGCTTTTAGTGCCTTCCTGCGCAATGTTCGCCGGCTGGAGGAGAACCCTTTCGAATCATATATGGCACAAGAGATATTGTGCAAATCCGCGGACCAGTGGACTGCAGCTTGGAGAGCAGGCCCATTGGAGCCAGGTTGCGGGCCATATGCTCTCAATGCAGTGGACTCGTTCTTCAAGGTCCTGGATTTTTATGTGCCCGATGAAGCAGCTCTCCCCCTCACGGAGGTGATTTCAAAGCATGAGCATTGTGGACAGATTTTTAGAATGAAGGAAAATGGTCTGATCTAAGCTTGGGCATTTCCGGCTTGTGCAGCAATGCTATATTGGGCGACGTGCCCAACGTTCTCAGTGAACGTCTTGAGCACCTCGGCTCCAAACAAGTCCGCCGAATGAGTGGGTTAGGGGTGTAGTGTAGTGTTTGGGGGTTTTGGGGTTTACATAGGGGATCAGGGATTTAGGGTTGCGTGGCTCAGGGCTTGGGGGTTTAGGGCTTGGGGGTTAAGGGTTTAGGGGTTTGGGTGTTTAGGGATTTAAAGTTTAGGGTTTGGGGGGTTAGGGTTTAGGGAAGGAGGCGTTGGGTGTAGCAGGGTTCATAGGAATTCACACTGCAAGGGCTGTTCCCTCCCTGCGAAATATGAGTACTAATAGACAGGTCGTGATAATGATAGTCATCGTCTTAATCATAAAATCCACAAAGACAAGACTTCACTCTGGCGATTGTCAGTGGTACCACAAAGACAAGACTTCACTGTGGCGATTGTCAGTAGCACTAGAAGTAGCGATAGCGGGGTCCTGACCAAGCAACGGTCCACAGCTCCTCAAAAAAGCCAGCATGTAAGCCTTACCCTAAGGGTCCATGTGCCCAAGTAGTATATACTTTGGCCCCAATGTGCCGACAGGAAGTTCTTTAAGGCCACAGTATAACTATCTGGGTATTGGACCCCCAGGGTCTGGACTTAGCAGCACTCCCCCAAAGCAAACACACACACTCTGAAACCTACTCTAAACCCTAAACACACACGCAGACTCACAGGCAGGCAGCGACAGATTTCGTGCCTTGACCCTTTCAGCCGCAAACTCTGTAAGGCCCAACGCTGCAAGGCCCATAAACAGCCCGATAAAACCCTACGCAACCCAACAAAGCCCTATAACCCGCGACCAAGACTTTATAAAATTCTACAGCATTCCGATCAACCACTAGAGGCCGCCTTTCCAAGCCTATGTAAATGCCTATAATAAACTATACTATTATAAACCCCTAACCCCTAAACCCCTTAACCTCTTATAAACACTAATTACATCCTAAACCCCTACTACCCCTAAGCCCTAAACCAAGCCCCAAACTCTTACGAAGGCCGACGACTACAATCTGGCACGATGGGATATAGGCAGCCGGGAACTCTTGTAAGTGTTTCAGGGTGTATAGGGTTTAGGGTTATAGGACTTTAGGAATTTTTGGTTGAGGGGGTTTAGGGTTTATATGGCTTTAGGGATTCAGGATTGAGAGGTTGGTTCACTCAGGGTTTTCGTCTGTTGCAGGCTTTAGGTGTAGAGGTTGAGGTTGTTGGTGCTTCGGGGAGTCTGGTGTTAAGACTTGGACTATAGGCTTCAAGCCTTGCGGCCATAGTGGCCCTAAGCCCTAAACCTGGAACTGGCCCGGAACCCTCAACGCTCCCCGAAACGCTGAATCTCAAACCCAAGGGTTTGGAGTCGCAACTGCTTGAAAGCGCCGCCACCTGATCTGAAGGCACACTTTGGCTACTTTGGCTTACTATAAAGAGGATGGAGGCAACCTCCTAGAGGACCGGCGTCAAGAGCAAGCCTGGTATTCAAGGTTCAAGTTGCGCTTTCAGGGTTCGCCCTGAACCCTGATCTCTGAAACCCTAAACACCTAAACCCGAAACCCTGCCACACTCATGGGTAGTGATGTATAAATGCGCTTATAAAGACTCCTAATGTAGGCCATAACTGCAGCTATCCTACTCATAAGCCCGACTTTACAGTAGAAGCCCAAAGTTAGAAACCGCTAGCCTCAATCCTCAAGAGTAATGTAGAGGGATTCCCAGCACGAATTGTCCCTAATCCGGTCTCCACCGCTTTAGGGGTTTACTCTAAACTCAGGCCTCATATCCTAGACAGGCACCTGTCTAAGTTGCGGGGACAAGTATTCTGCGCCTGAAACCCGCAGCCACCCGTAGCCCCTATACTCGAAGCGGCCGAGTGCCCTCTTGTGTCGCCGTACGTTATAACAACCCAAAGGGTCCTAAGTACTGTTATGGGGGAGACTTCCCCAAATCATAATAGTAATTCCTAATTTTAACGCTACGCCGCCCGCCTCGGCTCTGTAGTGGCAGGGCGAGGGTCCCGGCTTATTGTATACCTTCTGGTCACCCTAAACCCTAAACCCTAAACCCTCAAGAAAGTTATAAATAGAAATTGCTTCTCCTTGTTTGTCACCACCGCTACGGCCCAACACAAAAGTTAAAAATTGAACAAGCTTCTTGATAAACCAGTTTCTCTACAAACTTGTAACCACCGGTACGGCCCGGCCAACATTGAGCTGGAGCTCAAAAACGGAACAAGCTTCTTGATAAACCAATTTCTCTACAACCTTCAGCCCAGGCAACCCGGCCCACCAGCCAGTCCAAGCAGCCCGACCCAGCCTAGGCCAGCCCAGCCCAGCCAGGCAGCCCAGCCCAGCCAGGCAGCCCAGCCCAGCCCAGCCACAGCCCAGCCCAGCCCAGGCAAGAACTTTCGGTCAAAACGTTTCGGTCAAAACGTTTCGGTCAAAACGTTCCGTTCAAAACGTTTCGCTCAAAACGTTTCGCTCAAAACGTTTTTGGCACCCAAGAGCCCCAGCCTCCCAGCAAAATTGAAAACATGGTTCGCAAGAAAAAGCTTTCGGCCAAAACGTTTCGGTCAAAACGTTTCGTTCAAAACGTTTCGCTCAAAACGTTTCGGTCAAAACGTTTCGTTCAAAACGTTTCGTTCCAGCCCAAAACCAGGGTCGCAGCCCCAGCCCAGGTTCAGCCCCCTTAGAGCTCCCTTCTCTCGTTCTCACCTCCGCCCATACCATTCCCCAAAAGGGTTCGCAAAAGACCAGCCCCAGCCCCAGCCCCGGGACGGTCAAAACGTCTCGCTCCCAAGTTTCGTTCAAAACGTTTCGCAGCCCCCCAAGAAATTTGAAAACATGGTTCGCAAAAAAAAAACTCGGTCAAACTTTCGGCCAAACGTTTCGGCCAAACGTTTCGGCCAAACGTTTTTGGGACCCAAACCCTTAACAATTTTTATAAACCCTAAACCCAAACCCTAAACCCTAAACCCTAAACCAGACAGGCAGTGGATTGCCAAAGCGGGGGCGAGGAAGACGAAACGAGGGCGGGGAGAAGAAGTGGGAGGGCGGTGCGAGGGGAGAGGCCAGGAAAGGAGGGAACGAGGGTGGGGAGAAGAAGTGGGAGGGTGGTGCGAGGGGAGAGGCCAGGAAAGGAGGGGAAAGGGTGGGTGGGGAGGGGGGGTGGAAGAAAAAAAAGAGGGGGAGGAGGCCTGGAGGGGGCGGGTAGGCCCGCAAATCAGAGAAAATGAGGGGAGGCCGGGCAAGGGGGTGGCAAACGAGCGGGCTGCAGGGAGGAGGATTGGTGGAGGGTACCTGAGGTAACCACCAAAACGCCTGGGCCTGTGGCCTCGGCGGATATAGAAACCCTGCATTCTACTATAAAGGTACTTTGGACCCTTTGAGCAAGAGAAGTCTGTATGACGGTTCAAACGACGACATGCTGTTGTTCAACAACTGCACGTGCATGTATGGTACTCAGATAGTTACTTAGTTGAACATGTGCACGACCGTGTATATATGCATGTAACCAAGCTGCCGGCAGATCTAGTCCAGTGAGTCAGCTCTCATCATAGCCTCAAAACTTCACACTTTTGTCGTGCATGTACTTAGTTTGGTCACAGTCGCGCTCCGATATGACACGTGAAAGGAAGCCGGAAAAGCCCGGAATTCTGATGCCTCACACAGACCGTCCGAAATCCTGCGCCACAAGCCCTAATATGAACCCACTTTTTAGCCTCATGTATTGTAAACTGATAAACCCTACTGTAAGCCAAATTATGAATGTTATTGTAAACTGATAAACCCTATTATAACGCCTATCATAAACCCCACAAATCTCCATACCCATGCGTTGGGCACAGCACTGCAGGAGCGCAGCCTTTTTGCCATCCTCAGCTACGAGAGGAAGTTGCAGGCAAGACACCTTTAGGGTTTAAGTTTACGGTTCAGTTGAAAGTTTAGGGTTTAGGGTTCAGTTGAGGGTTTATCGGGTTTAGGGTTTGCGGTTCAGGTGTAGGGTTCGGTGTACAGGGTGCAGTGATACCAGTAATGCAATGCTGTTCATGATCGCGGTAGTTGTCATCATGTCTGTCCACACCGTCATGTTCATCCGAATCTTCGTCTTTCTCTCCGTATCCTTATCTTGACCACCGTCATGAGCTATGGTCATTGATCACTATCTGCATACACCCAAACCTCTCGTCGCAGGCGACTGCTCAGTGGCAGTTCTTCTGCGGGAATGAGATCGTGAGTGTCAGTCAGGCTGGATGCACGACCTCTAACCTTATGTGTTGCACGGGTGGTGGGGAATGCCGCATGATGTCCAGGGCCTTGGGCCTGGGTTCTTCTCCTGCACGATCTGGGGTTGCTGTAGCCCGCGACTCCGAAGCCTAAAATCTCACTGCTTTGCATGAGAGACTGTTGATCTCCTAAGCCCTACCTCAACCCCCAAAAGCAGGTAAGATAATGGCTCAACACTTGTATATCAGGATGCCCAGTGGTACCCTTATTCCCTTTTTGTAGTCCTAGGTTCCTTATCAAGTTACCCAATACCAAAAGGGAGCCCTTTTGTTCCTAGGTTGTTGGGCATCCTAGTCCTAGTATAAGGCTACTATTCTACATACCTTGGGGGTCCAGAACCCTGCTTAGGGCTTTACCGGTGAGGCAATTTCAGGGTCTAGGAACCCATACAACAAGGTCCCTTGATTCTAGGGGCCACAGCTAAGTCTCACCTTCGGTAACCGTGAGAAACGGTCGGTTGGGTCTAGGGTATGGGCCCTCTTTCTATTCGAATCGAGGATGGGGATATCATCTTGTAGTAGAAACTTTTGAGGACGCCATACATACACAATATATATATATATATATATATATATATATATATACATATGTTTACTACAGTGGCTGTTTATCCCCACTCCTTCCTTAGGGGGAAGCCCAGAAACCCTAGAAGAAACCCAAAACCCTTGAACCCCTGAATCCCCAAAGCGCGCAAACCCCTAAGCCCCTGAACCACTAAATCCCCAAAGCCCCTAAGCCCCTGAACCCCAAAGTCCCTAAACCCCCAAAGCCCCAAGCCCTTAAATCCTACACCACTAAACCCCACTATAGGGCGCTAAATAATGTCAATGGGGTTTGGGGGCTTTTTTTGTATAAATATAGTGAGGAACCACCAAAATCCTCATCCCTAAGACTCCAAGTAGCCCAAAGTAGGTAGTATTTACAGACTTTAGACCCCAAAGTAGGTAGTCTTTGTGGAGTCTTAGGGCATCCATAGAGGCTCCGGCTCCCACAGTGGCGGCCGGCAACGGCACCAACGAGACGGAGACGGAGAGCATCAGGACTCAGCAGATCAGCCGGGAACTGAGCCGACAGGGTTCAGCGGTCTTAGTGTTTTAGGGTTTAGTGTTTTAGGGATTTAGGGTATTTAGGGTATTTAGGGTTTTAGGGTTTAGGGTTTTAGGGTCTTAGGGTTTTTAGGGATTTAGGGTCTTAGGGTATTTAGGGTATTTAGGATGTTAGGGTTTTAGGGTCTTTGGGTCTTAGGGTTTTTAGGGTTTTTAGGGTTTAGGGTCTTAGGGTATTTAGGGTATTTAGGATGTTAGGGTTTTAGGGATTTAGGGTTTTAGGGTCTTAGGGTTTTTAGGGATTTAGGGTCTTAGGGTATTTAGGGTATTTAGGATGTTAGGGTTTTAGGGTCTTAGGGTTTTAGGGTCTTAGGGTTTTGCCTTTAGGGCTTTAGGGCTTTAGGGTTTTAGGGTTTAGGGTTTTAGGATATTTAGGGTTTAGGGTTTTAGGGTTTAGGGTCTTAGGGTCTTAGGGTTCTGGGCTTAGGGTGCAGATGGCAACTGAGCCGACAGACAAAAGTAGAGGATTTACCTTAGCGCCAATGAGCCCACAGTTTGAATTATACACACATCGGCACACAGGCACAGACACACACACACACACAGACACACGCAGACACACAAACATAGCAAGCATGCGTTTTTGTTTCGATTCTAGCCCTGACCCTTGAAGGCCTAAACCATTGCAGAATCCGTCGCAGCTCGGAGGACGGACCAATTCCCTTGGGAGCGGTCCGTCACGCAATCAGCGGGTTAGAAGAAAGTCAGCATCGGAGTTGTTTTGCCCCCAGTGGCCTAACAATAGTCAGAGCAATAGTCACGACAGTAGTCATATGGGTGGTTGGCGAAATTATGGTGCCTTTTTGGGTCCCAATTTTAGTACGACACCTATTATTTAGGGTACCCAAAATGGGACCCTAATTTTGACAACCACCCATATTGATATCAAAACCATCGTCATCATCATCATCATCACCATCATCATCATGTTGTTGTATTTTCTAACATCAACAGTATTCATCATCAAAGGGCTTCGAAACCCTAAACCCGTCTCATCCGGTCCTATCAGTCCAACACCGCACAGCACTATCGCTATCATTTCGAACACAACCGCTATCCCCGGGAAAACACTGGCATTCGTGGGTATACTCGGTGTTGGCAGCTCTGCATTGTTGGAAAGTGCCCTCAGTCAACCCTAAACCCTAAACCCTCGCCTGAGAGTGACTGCATGTACAGTAGCTCATCTCCAGCTCTAAGCAGACCCCAAGCCTGAACAAAGTTAATAAAGAGGCCTTAAAAATTACCTCTCTCTCTCTCTCTGCCTCTCTCTCTGCCTCTCTCTCTCTCTCTCTCTCTCTCTCTCTCTCTCTCTCTCTCTCTCTCTCTCTCTCTCTCTCTCTCTCTCTCTCTCTCTCTCTCTCTGTCTCTATATATATATATATATACAGACAGGCACCTCTCTTAAACTGCTCTTCACCCCACTGTAGAAGTCTAGGTTTTAGGGTTCAGCCATAAAGCCCTCAACCCTAAACTCAACTCTCTACACTGAGGCTGTGCACCTGGCGAATCCCTGGTGAACTACATTTGGCCGCGAGCTCTGCTTTGAGTTTAGGGGTTTGCGAAGTTTAAGGGTGCAGGCCCAGGGTGTAGGGTTCAAGCATCCAACAGATAGACCGACCGCATTATGAAACACTTAAAGGAACCCTTAAGGAAACCCTTCTAGGAACTTTTATGGGTTCCCTTGAGGGTTCCCCGTATGTTTCCGAAAAGGCCCTTTTGTAGGGATGAGTCTCTAATTCCTTTTAAAGGGTTTTGGGTTTAGTATGATCGCCGGTTTAGTGTTCAGGGTTTGCTTGGCAGGACTTCGGTGCAAACACTTGCGCAACAGACTTCGGCAGGTATGCGACATGCTCTGTGACCAGAAACATACATTCTATACATATATATATATATATTTATACAACAAGCTTTGCCTCCTTGGCTCTCCATAAGGGTTGTAACTGAAGGAAACTTGCTGCTTGTGGTTGCCGGCTTTGGTATCGGGTTTAGGGTTTAGAGTTCAGGTTCGAATTCACCCTGGGTGCGTTTGCATCGCATCGAGTCGGGCTCAGTTCTATGATGCAGCCTTCGCAAAAACAAACACCGAGCTAATGTTCGCGCACACAGACATCCAAGCACAGAGAGTACCCTCAACCAGCCCAATGTGTTGGGGGCTGCAGCAGGAGGATTACGTTCCGTTTTTGTTGCTGCTTCAGGGCTCACGCATGCTGTCAGCATTTCGGAAAGGAGGTGAACATGAGGTCAGTGCATGTTGGTGCTTCTTGTGGGCACTTCTTAGCACCAACATATGAGGCCTTACCACTAACCGCCAAATACTAGTAAAACCGAAGCCATAAACCCTATTGCATCCTAAACCCTAGGCCTTTTCGAAATCCCACGAAATCCCATCAGCATCAGAAAGCCTTAAGTGAAACTTGCAGGGGATAACCCACCACCCGGATCCCTGAACCCCCAATGTAGGGGCCTGACTCAGCCAGTGGCTAGTTTTGACCAGAGCTAAAATTACAAGTAGTATTATTCGGTAGGCTTCCTTACTAACGTTACGCCCTTAATGTATACTATACCCAGAAGCCGATTCTAAGTCTTATGGCCCCTATCTTACCCTATCCCTCCAAGGACCTCATAGTCAGGGGCCTAGGCCCCTTAAGGACCCCATAATAAGGTCCCTTGAGGCATAGGGTTAAACCTTAGCTGAAGTGCCCAGGCCTTCCTACGACAGTCCTAGTGGCATCTCCGTCGGCTTTGGCCTCAGCTTTTCAGTCCGACTCGTCAGAGCTCTGGGGTTTGGGTTTAGGTGGTTTAGGTTAGAAGGGGCCCCCACCCTGTAATAGTGACTTTAAGGACCCCTTCTAAGATTTAGGGCTTAGGGTTCCGCAGCTTTTCAGTTCGATTCGTCAGGGTTCAGGGGGTTTAGGGTGTTTAGGGTTTAGGGCGGGGTGTCAAGGAACATGTCTTTAGCTGCCATAAAGGGTCAACAGTACAGCCACCCCCCCACCCACCCAAGGGAACCCTATTCTGCTTAGTCAGGCCCCTTCCTCACAACCCTGACAGTAACCCTTATAGACCCCTCTGAAGGGGAACCCTATTCTAATTGCTAAGGCCCCTACATCCCTAAATCCTATAGCCCTTTAAGGATCCCCTCAAAAGGGACCCTATAAGCCTTATTCTAATTACGAAGGCCCCGATATTATCCACAGAAGGCCCGGCGGAGCGGCAGCAGCTGGTCATGGACGGCTCGGGCTCGCGGTTCTTCCCGGTGGAGGCGAGGGTTCAAGGGTCCAAAGGACCCAACAAGGGTTCAGGGGTTCAGCTTTAGGGGTTTAGGGCTTAGGGTTGATTGTTTAGGGTGTAGGCTTTAGAGTTTAGGCTTTAGGGTATTCGAGTGCCTTATATGAATCCCACTATATTGGGGATTATAGGGCCAGGGTATCATCAGTCAGGTCCCTACAGTGCGGTTCAAGGCTTAGGGCCAGACTTTCTTCTGTGCTTTCTGTAAACGAGTATTAGTCTGATGCTTCGTAGTATTATTGTAGGCTTGAAAGTTTAAGTAAGTGACGATGCTAGGTCTCTCAATATAATAATATAGTTGTGGGGACTGTGACAAGAACATACTTGCTATGTTCACGGTTACTAAATTTGCGGTTTAGGGTTTGAGAGTTGCGATTAGATTGCGATAGCTGCATGCGGAACTAGGGTTGTCGAATGGTTCATGAGGTTTCACCCTAAACCGCCCTGATCCCGCCAAGCCGTCGTGTCGGCTAGAGTTTTGGGAGTCCGCCGTACCATAATTACGATACGGAGCCCCAAGATAGTATAGTTAATTCTCGAGGCCCTTAAATTTAGCCCTAAACCCCGCCAGGCTAGGATTTTGGAAGTGTATCACACTTTAATTACGAAAAAGGAGCCCCCAAATTCAGGCCCCTATGTTAACTCTAAACCCTAAACCCTAAATCCTCAACCCCTCGATCCTAAACCACCAAACCCTAAACCACTAAACCCTATTTAAACCCCTAAACCCCTAAACCCCTACACCCTATATACACTTTTAAGCCTAAGCCCCGCCAGGCCGTGGTGTCAGCGCTGCGCGATGGCGTAGACCGGCTCCCGGCGACCTTGGCTCGGCGGTGGCCTTAACTTTTGTTTGGCCAAAGATCTGAGGAGTACAGGGTTCAGGTTTGTAGTTGCTGGTGCTCGGGGCACCTCAAGCAAAGCCAAGGTTAAGCAGAGGGGCATGCGGCAATTGCAGGAATCTGCGGTCTAGCATGCGTCCAGCAATTACTGTATACATCGTAGTTGTTCAAGGGGCGGGGGCTGGGCATGGTGCATGCAGCGTCACACGCGCCACAAATCTGTGATGCTTCATGCTGAAGTGTAGCAACCTCTGACAGACGTAGAAACCCTAAGTCCCTGACATATCAATCTGTTGCGACTGCCTTCAAGTTCGCATTCGTTGTAGCTGCATGTCGGGCCCGACTAAGAGCGCAATGTGCATCCGATCCTATGCCAGAAATCGTAACCGTAAACCATAGCAGCTCGCTATTTCCCAACCCTTAACTTATCAAACTTACCGAAACCATGAAACCCTAAGCACATGTAGGATTTGCAGGGACTTTCTTCCAGTGGATCTCGTGCTATCCCACCCGGTATGCCTGCCGAAAACACTACCTGTTGAGGTTGGGCCGTATCTTTCCGAAGGTGCGGCACGGAGTTGTCGATTTTATTTCTGGGTGAGGGGTCCTATAATGCTTGTTTCGAGCCCTTCCATATACTTTACCTGAAAGGCCATGACAAGAATGATGTTCCAGGCTACCACTGTATGTGAGAGTAGTTGGTTTTCCCAGATGAGCCTAGGGGCACACTGGCTGATGTCTTCCAGGGGCCCTCCGTCAAGACATTTGAGTAATATAGGGGCTTGAAGAATCAGTAATACTACTCCGTATCATGTCGAAATAGTTCTTCTTGAATCAGAGTATATCCCCAACGATGTTCAGCATCACTACGGCCCATATCAGTTGGTGATCTGAAGGCTCTGAGTGTTTTGAGCTGAGCTTGCCAATCCTGCACACCGAGACCTTCCAGCCGTTTAGAGTTTAGGGGTTAAGGCCCAGACCTTCCAAAATCCCTTAATTAAGGAATATACCTTAAATCCTAGTAGGATCCCTAATATCATTTAAGGTACATTCCTTCATTAAGGGATTTTGGAAGGTCTGGGGGTTTTAGGTTTAAGGGTCTAGGGTCTGACAAGTGGGTTCAGCGTTGAGGTCTGCTTAGGGTTCAGAGTTTAGGGATGTTTGGGGGGTTACGCCTACTGTTTGTGGGGGCTGAGGGATGCTTACCCTAAGGCCCTGTAGTAGTTCCTTTTCGGGGTTCATATTTAGAACCCTACAGGGTAATCCCAAAAAGGAACTACTTTGGGGCTTAGGGATGCTTAGGATTTATCGCAGGTGGTTCTTTTGCGGGGTGTTCCAGTGCTTCGTACTCACAGGACTGAGTCGCAAGCTCGCTGTGCTTGGGGTTTAGGGTTTAGGGCTTTGGGGTTTAGGGTCTACCGTTTAGGATTCAGGATTGACGTTACGAAATCTACACCCTGACCCCTAAACCCCTAAACCCTTAACCCCTAAGCCATATAGGTCCGAACATTTGAAACCTGACACCCCCGACCCGAAACCCTAAACTTGTAGGTTCCGATATCCCAAATTAACCTAGAGGCTCATACCCTACCCCTTGTTTAGGATACCTAGTTTTTATGTTGAGGATCTGCTATATAGAAACGTAGATGCCCTAAAAAAGGGGTAGGGTATGAGCCTACAGGTCAATCCGAAACTCTAACCTCGCGGGTTCGGATACCTCAAACCTCAAAGCCATCAGCCCTCGCTCGGAGGACTTTGTGGTGCCGGAGGGAGGAGAGGCTCCCCACACGGACACGCTAAGGTGGACCTGCAGTGAGGTTGAGGGCTGAAATGTTTAGGACTCTATCATAAGGACCCTTACAAAGGTAGGGGGAGGGGGGTAGGCGCCCTTAAAACCAATAATAAGAACTTGATAAGGCAACAAGGCTTATCTAAACTTACGGAAGTATAGTCCCCTCCCCCCCTTGAGGGTCCCCAGAGTTTTAAGGGTTCAGGGGTTAGGGCCGACGGGTTTAAGTTGAGGGCTTAAGGTGTAAGGCTTATAGTGAACCCCAGAAAGTTGGAACATCGATTTAGGATGATCCATGCTGGGATTCCCTTTACTTTGAGGGCATGAGGCTACTGATGTTGCAACTTTCTGGCTTCTACTGCATCGGTTGCGGATGGCAGTTTTGAGGGTTTAAGTTTGAGTTGTAGGGCTTCCTGCAGTGAGGTTTAGGATATGAGGCTTCAGGCTTTTAAGGGTTCAGGGTTGAGGGCTTCCAGGTGTAAGGTTTATATGGTTTAGGACTTCAGGGTCAGGGGTTAGAAGGTTTAGGGTCGAGGCTCAAGAGCTGGAGCGAGCTTCTGGGCTCAAGCATCCATCATGGTACGTCAACTTCCGCAACTACAGTGTAAACGAAACTCACCCTCCCAAAAAACTATTCTGGTACTCTGTGTGTGTGTGTGTCTGTATATGTGCATATGTGTGCGTATGTGTGTGTGTGTGGAAAACGAGGTAGTATGTCGGACAGAATGGTGGAAGCCAGGTCTTTCTTCCTCTTCAGCCAGAGCTATGGCTATTCGCTCAGAGATGTTTCTAGGGTTGCAGGTTTGGGGGCTTAGAGTTTTGGTGTTTATGCTCCAGGGGTCTAGGGCTTGCAGGTTTAGGGTTTAGGGTTGAGGGTTTGGGGTTTATATATAGGGTTTAGGGTTTAGGGTTTGGGGTTTGGGGTTTAGGGTTTAGGGTTTAGGGTTGGCTTAATGTAGGAACCTGATTAAGAAACACTGGGCCCATAATCCCAAAACAGTAGGATTCATTCAAGGAACCCTAGTAAAGGTCCAAGATTTCTTAAGCAGGTTCCTGCATTAGGAAGTTTAGGGCCAGCGAGTTGGTCGGGTCGAGACGAGGATTGAGGCTTCCGGTGGTGGACTCGTTGGGGGTCGTCATGGTCCTTATATCCTGGGCATAAAGGCCTCCTACCCCCCCTCCCCCTACCCCCCTAAGGGTCCCTGTTTTAGGGTTTGGGGACCCTTGGGGCCCGAGATGTAGGGTTCAGGGTTTAAAGTTTAGACCGCTTCGGGTTGATATTTTTTGGGGGCGAGTCAAGGAAAGGATATTCGCTCCGGGGCTCGGTTGCCAAATTTCAATGTGCAGGCTTCAATCGCACATGGTTTGATCCGTTGTTGGCTCCGGTCATTACAATCGAAAAGTGGCAAGCGGCGCCATTTGGTTCCAGTTGGCGCGTGGCCGCTGTTGGCCCGCGATCCCTGTCCTCAAACCTTGAGCCCACTCTCGCAATCCCTACCTGGAAGATTCTCTTTGTGGTCTGCAGGATAGTACTTGGAGCCCACGCGTTTGGTGTTTCGATCAATGTCCTGAATCATTAGGCCCCTGCAGGGCACTCTGAAATACACCCTGAATGCTGTAATCCGTTTACAAGAAGACCTCGCGAACAAGGGACCCATACTTAAAGCAGCAATATGCCCGCATGGCACAATACGGCTTCCCGAAGCCTTAAACCCTAAGCTATGCCCCTTGTATAATATGGCACAATACTGCCTCCCGAAACCCTACTACCTGGAGTTTGTAGCTCCTTTTTTGGTTAACCAGTTTTACGGTTAGGATCCTATAATAGAGTTTTTGGTTAACCAGAAAAAGGAACTACAATGGAGACTGCAGGTAAACCCTAAGCTATACCCTTCTACCGCAGAACACCATGAGATTCCCTCAGACAACCCCGGCTTTGTCTCACGGTATTCGGCTCGCCAAGGTCCTGAGGGATACTACGACTCGGCTTCCGTGTGGCCCTCGACACAAAGTGGACGGACGGTTTAGGATTTAATGACTTGAAAAAGGGCTACAGGTATGACCTGAAATGCTACATCCTTAAACCCAAACCCTATACTATCGGACAGGAATAACTACTCGTAATCTTCAATCTTCCTGCGGATCCTTGAATATGAGGATGGTACAGTATACCCCCCCAAAGCCTCCATTGCCACAAACTGCATGTCAGCCTTCGGACTAGGCACTACGTCCGAAGAACAGCCGAAGCCCTAAATCCTAAATCCCACACCCTGAACCCTACAAGGCTTATAGTATCCCTTAGAGGAATCCTTATAGATCCCTTAAAAAGGAACATCCCTAAGCCCTAAACCGCACCAGAGTTTTCTACGAAGGTCGGCTCGTGGGTTCGAAGATCTAGAGTCTTCAAGGAATACTTAAGGATTTAAGGGTTTAGGGTTTAGGCGTTCTATGGTTTGGGGTTTAGGGTTTCAGGCAAGGCTTTAAGGATTGAAGGCTTTAAGGATTGAAGGCTTTAAGGATTTAAGGGTTTAGGCGTTAGGGTTTAAGGGTTTTAGGGTTGAAGGCTCCGCGAATTTAATGAAATGAGGCTTTAAGGGTTGAAGGCTTTTACGGGTTGAAGGGCTGAAGCCTCAAGGTTTTTTTGTTCCGGGGTTTGCGTGCTGAGCGGTTTAGGGTTTAGGGGTTTAGCCTACACCCCGCACCCCCATGGCCGATCCCGCAACCCTCAACCCTAATCCTACACCCCACTGCCCTGTAACACTCTTGATCCTTGCCAGCTGCCCGAAATCCCAAACCCCTAGACCCATCAACCCTACACCCTCTGCCGCAAACCCGAAACAGTAGCCACAGTCTTTTCTGGAGGCTGCCAATGCCGCGCGGAAGCAGTTCCATGGTGGGGACTGTGTCGGCCTAACATGTAGCCATTTACGTTTTGGAGTTTGCGGGTACGGGTCATAGGTTCATGATTTTAGGCTTGTGGTTTGCAACTGTTATTGTTTCTATGGGGTCTCGAGTCTGTGTTACTAGCTGAGTATGTCAGCTCCAACATTGCTGGGTTTATATATCCCTATGCTTCCAAGGACCTTATAGTTCGACCCTAAACCCTAAACCCTAAACCCTAAACCCCTAAACCCTAAACCCCTAAACCGTTCAGGGACCCAATGGCCCAATAAGGTCCCTGGAAGCATAGGAAAATACTCGTTTGCATCGCCAACTCCCCTGTTCGGGACAACCGAGAACTCAGCCAAAGGGCCGCTGGTTTCCGTCTGGTTTGAGGGCTTGGTTTAGGGTTTGTCAGAGGGATCCTTAGGGGTGTAGGGGGAGGAGGGGGGGTAGGGGACCTTAAGGCCCATAATAAGGACTAATAAGGCCTATTTAAGGAAATATAGTCCCCTACACCCCTCCCCCCTACACCCCTAAGGGTCCCTATGAGTTTGGGTTCCATAGAGGGCTTAGGTTTGAAAGGTTTGTTCGCAGGGTCTGCTAGCGAAGCGGGAGTGCCTGGTTGTCCTACGAATAGTTACCTAAATGCTTTTCCTTAGGGTTCCTTACGTCAACTGTACTACTGCAATGTGTGCCCAGTCCCCTTCAACGACAAAGCTGTTCTGCTTAACTCCGCAGCTGTGAAACAAGAATGTCACATCGTGTCGCGATTCTAACAAGCTCAGACGCGACTGACTCAGAGCGTGGACCGTAGAAACCCTAAGCCGATGGCACGAAGGAGGAAGTCCTGCTTAGAGCTAGGGTTCAGCATTTGGGGGAGCGGAAAGTTACAGGGTCTCGGCTTGAGGCTTCATTCAGATTTCAGGGTCAGCCTTGTCTCGGCCCGAGGGTGTTGGTTCGCAACTGCAGTTCCTTTTTGGGTGGTCACTTTAGGCTTCACGGGCTAGGAATTTGGTAGGGTTGATTTGAGGTCAGAATCATTCGATCTAGTTGTCCCGGAGGACTTACACCAGCTTTTGCGGCAGCAAGACGAAGATCTCAAGGATCTGCCGCATTGCGGATGGTCGGTTGCTGAATCCTTCCCGGTTTAGGGTTTAGGGTTTTTCCATCTTCATGCAGGCCATTCTTGAACATGGACCTTCTGTTTGCTGTTCTACATTTAAGCTCGAACACGAGTGATAACCTAGGACCTGGAGTAGGCCCTTATTCCCTTTTTGTAGGGTTCAGGTTCCCTTATAAGCCCCTTTAAACCAAAAAGGGCACCCTTTCTATTCCTAGGCTACTCTTGGGTTTAGTAACTTTCTACCCATCAACCAGCGAGAGACTCGAATCCACAACCCCTCGATAACCGATCCTACTATTTGCTTAAGACCCCCCCCAAAAAAAAAAAATGTATATATATATATATATATATATATATATATTCCTTATGGGGGTATTATAGGGATTATTATTTTTATTTTTTGGGGGGGTTCTTAAGCAAATAGTAGGATCTTTTGTATTATTTCCGAGAGCCAACGAACTGGGGCCTTGGTTTGGGGTTTTGGGTGGGGGTGCGTGTTATGGCTTAGGGCCAACGGGTTCGTTCAGACATCGTATCAATTCCCGAACCCCACCTGCATCCTAAAGAGCCCACCTCTTTAAGGACAGATATTACATAATTACATATATACATATGTATATATATATATATATATATATATAGTGAAGCCGTAGCAAGGAGCCCCAAAAGGGTAGGCTGTCTAGGGTTCAGATAAACCCTACAGTGGCTCTTAGACTTCGGCTTTTGATTTGACCCCTAAATCCTATAAACTCAAAACCCCATAAACCCTAAACCTTAAGCCCTAAATCCTGAACCCTACAAACCCCACAAACCTTAAACCCCCTAAACCCTTAAAAACCCTAAACCCTGAACAACTGTCCCGGCCCATTGGAGGAGCATGGAATCCGTGTGTTCTACAGCTCCGGCTTGCTGGCGCCGGCCTTAGTCTTTTCGAAGGTTTAGGGTTTCGGGGTACGGTGTACTCACGGGGCTCAGGCTCTTGGGCCTTTCGCACAGGGTTGCAGGATCTTAGGGCTAGGGTCTTAGGTTCCATGGGGAAGGCTTTAAAATAGGGCTTTATTTTCGGGGTTTAGGGGTGCAGGGGGACAAGGCAAACCGAAGGGCAGTCATCCTGGCTCGAACTGCTTACTGGGTGCTTAGTAGGGAATGGGGGAATGGATTGTGGGGATCACTGCCGGGATTATATAAGGAGCTTCTACAAGGATCCATTTCCCCCATTCCCTGGTTAGTAAGAAGCAGGGAGAAGTCTCTTGACCGTTCATGCACACGGTTCGAGACTGTGGCTTGAGGTTGACAGTTAGATGGTTTGACATGTCCCGAACATGCAAGGGCCTTGGGTTCAGAATTTGCATTTCGGGGACTGGGTTTCAATACATCTCAAACAAACAAGGACATGGTAGACACTTTGAGTACGCTTCTCCTGAACACATACATGCTCATCGAAAGAGAGTCATCATCGTTTGACTGAGCACGTCTACGCTATACATGGTACAGCTCTCAAACGGATATTTTGTTTAGCCGACTAGTTCAATGGCATGGCTTGGCTTTACTCTACATAATGTATAGTACACGATGGTGATTGGATCCACAGGTATTCGCACTGATCTCTGTGACCCCTCCGAAGCTTACGCGTTGAGGGCCGCCGACAAGGAATCTTGAAGCCTACCCTATAAACCCCCAAAGCCTGAGCCCCTGAACCCACTGATTTTGAACGAGCCGAAGCAGGCAGCTGTGGTGGCAGTGGCACTGCAAGCAGCCGCTGAGCTGAAAATTGACAGCTACGGTCAACATCTCCAGGAGAGGACTCTCGCCCAGATTGCGCACATTGATCGAAGGGGAAGCTCCACATATGGCGGCATCTGACTATACAGTCGGGCATCTTGTCGCGAGCCAGGTCTCTCGCGAGCCTCCCTTTCCGCCACCTGGCTGGAAGGACCTCATGGAGCCACCACCGCTGAGGCGGGAAGAGTACCTCAGAGAATGAAGCTGCTACCCGACATGGCGGGGCCGTTCCCGTACTTGCAGTCTACAGTGGTTATGCTCAACGGCGGCCGCATGTGCGAAGAGCATGAAATCATGCCTGCAAGGGCAAAGCCCAGGAGCTGCTCAGCAGCAAAGGTTGAAATGCATGAACACTCTCATGCTTGCCTTCGTGAGGTGAACAGCCAGTTGTCCCAGCCGCAGCTGTCGCGGGTGTAGGCTATATAAGGCATAAAGCCCTCAAACCGATGCCTAAACGGTAGGATTTCTATAAGGGTCGGAATAGGTGGCATGACTATTTCGGATGAATGTGTGTTTCAAATATGGTTTATCATATGGGAGTTTCCGAAAATAATGGGACCCTAATATAGTACCCTAAATAATAGGATCCTTATAATAAGGACCCCACAATAAGGTACCCCCCAATTTTCGGAAACTCCCATATCTATTCCAAGTGTTAAAGCCCTTGTCTTATCTGGTCGATCGTCAGGGCCCTTCGAGATGGAGAGCGCCAGTTCAGTAGCCCCCCAAACCCACTAGCTAAACCATGACTCCCCAGACCTTCCAAAATCCATTAATTAAGGAATATACTGGGGACCCCTACCCTATAATGGGCCATATAATGGGTATATAATAGCTATACTAAGGGTATATACCTGGGGGTCCTTATTAAGGGTCCCTCCTTTTACCCTTGGAGCATGGAGGAGGGGTCCCTGCAGATGGGAGGATGAGGCCGACATTTTCAGCGCTCTCTTCGCAGATGTCCTGCTCTCCGTAGGAGGCCGGGGCTGGGCTTCAGAGATTCCCTTAAGGGTCCATGTGCCCAAATAGTTCCAGGACCCTCCTTGTGCCCTCAAATAGGGGTATATGGCCCCAAATAATGAGCATTTAGGGTCTAATAGAGGGTAGATGGAGGGTCTAGGTATATACTTTGGTCTTAAAGTAGTCCCTATATAGGTGCATTGGGCCCAAAAATATTTACATACTACTTAGGCACATTGACCCTTAGGATTCATTCAGCACCGATGAACAAACCTCGTCATACTAGGATCCCTACTTTCATCCCAGGAAGATGTGGTTTTTGATCATTGACCAGGAAGTCTGCAGTAGAGGATGTCCGGATAAAGGATCGTAGGGTTTAAGATTTCGGTCGTATACCTTAACCCCAAATAACCTACCTTTTTAAGGACTTGTATAAAGAAGTCATATTCGGGAACCCTAAAAAAGGTAGGTTCCTTAGGGTCGAGGTAGAGCTTGTATAGGGTGCCGCCTTTTTCCACTCTAAACCAGAAAGCCTAAACCCGCAGGGTCTGGTGTTTCGGTCCGGGAGGGTTGTTCTTCGAGGCAGTCTGTTTGTTACGGCTCCCAAACACCAAACGTCTCAAACAAACCAGAGGTCTTCGGCTCGGAGTTAAGGGTTTGGAGAAACCCATGTCTAAACTTTGACAGCCTTACCTGTAGTCTCCATTGTAGTTCCTTTTTCTGGTTAGCCAAAAACTCTATTGTAGGATCCTAACCATACAACTGGTTAACCAAAAAAGGAACTACAATGGAGACTACAGGTACAGCCAAACAACAGAAATCAGGTTCAGGTTTAGGCTTTAGGGTTGTTGAAGCCTAAGGGATCCCTGCGATGTCCTCCAGTCGCCCTGAGGCCTAAACCGTATGACGTGCCTTCTTTAGCCATAAGGGTCCAAGTACCCAAATAGTAGGGTTTCAAGGTTCAGAAACCATTCAGGGTATGGATTTTGGGACTTGTAAAACCCTACTATTTGGGTACTTGGACCCTCTGGGTTAGGAGACTTCAATTACAGCCCCTGCTTAGGAGCCATAGCTTGCGTGGGAATCTCGTCTCGGGAGATCCGTCAGATGCAATCGAGTCTCGTGAAGCTCGCCCGACAGCTTTAATCCGTAGACCCGCTCCCTAAAACCGTAACTCGTTACTATAGAAGCCTAAATGATGACCAATATTGTTCCTTGTTCCTAGGGTTTCTTGGTAATCATAAGCGTGCAAAATGCTACGCCCGGAACCCTTTTCGAATTATTAAGGCCCCCCGCATGATGTCCCTCGGCCCTTTACGTACTGATTCCTGATTTATTTAACAACCCCGAATGCCCTAGACCCTACGGCTTCAAATGCCTACCCTAGACGCTTGAATGCACCCTAGACGCTTGAATGCACTGCGTCTTTTGGTTACCTTAGTTTCTTATGTTAGGATCCTCTCCTTATGCCCCATAGTCGTTCCTCTCTGGGGTTCATATGTAGAATCCTATAAGGTAATCCCAACAGGAACTACTTTTCGGACCCATAAACGAAGTCATCCAATAAACGGCTCTACATTTAAGGGCCTCGGCTCGGACCCCCGGACCCAAAACCTCCAAACCCAAGTCCAGACACACTAAACCCTGAGGGTTTAGGGTTTAGGACTAAATCCTACGAGCCCCTTGACGTCCGAAAGACCAAATTTCCGAAGCCCTCTGAATCGCTGGAAGCCCAACGCCCCTGAACCCCTAACCCTTAAACCCTAAACCCCCAAGCCCTAAACCCTTAAACCCACCCTCAACCCTAACCCTCAACTAAGCCCTTACCGTCCCCCAAACCCTAGAGTTTGTTTCTTCGGAGGGCTGGCGCTGGTTTTCCTGATGATCTGCTTGCACACACAAAGCCTCCTGCGCCCTCCTCAGCTCCCCATCGTACGGTTTATGGATTTTGGGTTTAGGGATTTAGATTAGAGTTTCGAGATTTAGGGTTTGGGGATGTGCGGTTGCGGGATTTAGGGTTTAGGGCTCTTTTTTGTGATTTTTAGGGCTTCGGCTCCATACGTTGCCAGGGAGCATCTTCAAGGCAGCGTGAGGCTTCGTAGGGGTTTTGTGGAGTTTCCGACCCATATATTCTGTGGGTTTAATGTTGGATCCAGATTAACAACCCCCCCCCCCCCCCGCTGTCAAGGTTAGCCCGCTTGAACTTGTTCATGGGTTCAAGTTTTTACCGGCCCCCCCCCCCGATTATGTGGGGATGGGGTTAATTATTAAGTATAGTAGTAAGTAGATAGAGAGTACTTAGTAAAGTATTGCAGTCGTACAATAGGAGTACAGTAGTATAGTAGTACTACAGTAGTATAGTAGTAGTACAGTAGTATAGTAGTATTACAGTAGTATAGTAGTAGTATAGTAGTAGTACAGTAGTACAGTAGTACAGTAGTAGTACAGTAGTATAGTAGTATTACAGTAGTATAATAGTAGAAGAGTAGTATAGTAGTAGTACAGTAGTTTAGTAGTAGTATTCAAGTCTAGTAATAGAAGCAGTACAGTAGTAGATATCACCGAAATCCCAGGGATCCCAAGGCCAGGGATCTCTGACCCTTCCATCTCAAAGCTTCGGGCTTTCTAGGTCAAAGCCAAGGGCCTGCAAATCCCTGGTCCCGGGCCGGACCCTGTTAATCGGGGGGGGTTTCCTGCTATTCGGGGGGGGGGTCGGGGCCTGCAAAGGGGTAGCCTTGGAAAACTTGACAAACGTACTCTTTTTATATACGGTTTAATTAGGGAACCACCTGTTTCTGCCAGCAGAAGATATCACCGAAATCCCACAAATACCCAACGCCAGGGATCTCTGACCCTTCCATCTCAAAGCTTCGGGCTTTCTAGGTCAAAGCCAAGGGCCTGCAAATCCCTGGTCCCGGGCCGGACCCTGTTAATCGGGGGGGTTTCCTGCTATTCGGGGGGGGTCGGGGCCTGCAAAGGGGTAGCCTTGGAAAACTTGACAAACCTACTCTTTTTATATACGGTTTAATTAGGGAACCACCTGTTTCTGGCAGCAGAAGATATCACCGAAATCCCAGGGATCCCAAGGCCAGGGATCTCTGACCCTTCCATCTCAAAGCTTCGGGCTTACATGAGCTGGTCAAATGAGGAAAAGTCTGCCATCATGAGTTCTTTACGGTTTAGGGTTCAGGGTTTGGGGTTTAGGGTTAAGTCATAAGCCTCTAAATCCCCTAAATTTTTACTTCGGGGATTTTCGGGGATGGCCCCGTCTAATCGGGGGGGGTTTAGGCGAGCTCCGGTACCATTAGGGTGGGGTCTAATGGACGTCTTCATTAAGCCCATGACATGCCCGGGACGGCCCCGTCTAATCTGGGGGGGTATCTTAATCTGGAAACGACATTAAACGTGTTCACCTGCCATGAGTTTGCAGAAGGGGCTATGGCTTCCGTAGTCCCGGACAGTCTCAGGGACGAAATAGTCCCCGCTTTCATCTTTTTCAGGCAACTCAGCCCAGGGCCCTGAATCCTTAAAGTTAGACACTACAGCTACAGACCCGAACTAACCCGGCCATAAGAGATTCAGAAGAGTTTCATAAGAGTTCTCGTTTTTATAAGCAAGGCTTCGGGAGGGTTTTGATACTTGTTGAAGGGGTTCAAGTAGGTTATCAAACCCATAGAGCCCACATCCTGGACCTTGTATGACAAAGTTCCCAAAACCTCAGAGCCAACGGGCTATGGAATCAAACGCGCGGAGTTTAGGGTTTATAGTCTCCCTCGTTTTAGTAGGTTCTTGTTATGAACCCTCATATAGAATTTATTGTTTATGCCCGCCCCCTCCCTCCCATGATGCATGGCCGCTTCCTTTTAGAGGGAGTGGATCATGGCGGTGGGGATATGTACAGGTTGCGAAAACACTGCCAGGCTCGAATGTCCCCAACATTTGTAAAGCTGTAAATGCCAAACCATCGCCAGGCTCGAAGTTCCCCAAAATCTCAGCAACCATGGCCCCACGCTCCACGTATATGCCTGGAGTTTGGGGATTTTGGTGAAATTCGAGCCTGGCGATATTTTGGCACTTCCAGCTCCACAAATGTTGGGAAAATTCGAGCCTGGCGAGGTTTTGGCAACCTCGGATGCGAAAACACTGTCAGGCTCGAATTTTCCCAAAATTTGTAATGCTGGAAGCGCCAAAACATCGCCAGGCTTGAATTATAGTAGAAGCCAGAAAGTTGGAACATTGCTTTAGGAGGATTAGTGCTAGGATCCCTTACACTTTACCTTAAGGGCATGAGGACAATGATGTTCCAACTTTCTGGCTTCTACTGTAGAAGAACAGCTGTACCATGTATTCATACACGGGCCTTTAATTGTTGCGGGTTCCCAACGGTGTTTCATCGAACATAATGTTGGCAGTTGTAAAGATCAGCTTTGCTCAAAAAAGGGAGGCCATCTGTACTA